AGGTGCTAGTTTCAAATCCTTTTTAGTCTGAAATCTGTATGCTAGATATTGAGTAAGGTGGTTTTATTGTTTTTTGTCACTTTGAATAATATTTCTGTTCATGTTAAAAACAAAATCAACTCTCTGTATAAATATATCAGGTGACCGTTAAGGCCCATGGGCCTCTTGTCTAGCATGCCGTTTGTCTCCATTTTCCTTCACAAAGTTTTTTTGTGTACGGTGAAAGTTCAACGTTGGTTGTATTCCATTTTGCCGACTGTTTGGCAATATTCTCATGATAAATATTTGTTCTTCTCCGAGTTAGTTTGTTAACAATTTCATCTCGAAATCGATCAACAATCGCTTTCCTAATTATAGTAATGGGTATTGACAAGAAGGCTTTTCCATGGGGTTACCCAATGTAGTTAATCTCTTTCTTTGGACTTTAAATAACCAGTCCTTTCTTCCTATCTGACAGGAATATATTCTTCATAGATACATTACGCTTGTGTCTACATATTATTTCAGTTGTGGTCCCATCTACTGCTCAATATGTCGTTCTTATATCTTTATGTTCCATTGTCTGAACTGTTTTAATCGCTAAACACCTGGAATAGATCTTGGTTCGATCTTTGGATGTTTGTAAATGGTCACTTGTTTGTTTTCAGGAAATCGACGGCCAGTCCCTGTTGTTGATGAAGAGGAGCGACGTGCTCACCGGCTTGTCACTCAGACTTGGCCCCGCCCTCAAAATATACCAGCACGTGACCAAGCTCCAGACGGCCAATCAAAAGCATTCCATCTACTGACGTGGCAGCCATCTTTATAATTATGATCAGATGTGAGACATAATTATATTCTGGTGTTTATCACATAATATAATTAATATATTGTTGCATATCAATCGCAAAAAAATATTACCTTGTTCATGGAATGACTAACTTTAATGACGGTATAACGCACTGTGACGAGCTAATACGAAATATTATACTACGACGCTAGTTAACTAGAGTTACGCCTTTACGGTATCTTCAGGAAAGATGCCTGTATGGGATTCTGTCCTATTGTGTCTTGTTAAACTCTACACGTGTTGAACACGTGTGGACACTAATTTTCGATTGTCAACCTTTGACGTTTTTATGTACCTGACAACTATGACATTATTATTAAACTTCTAGTGTATGATGTAAGGATCTCTGTCCTACTGCTGGCAAAACGATTTCCAAACTTAGAGTAGTCTCCCCTACCTATAGAAGGAGCGATTGTTTGTTTTTATCGGAAGTCGGGAAACGAATACCGGTTTGTGTTGCAGGTTTTGTATCAAAACACTGTTGCTGACTTATTTTGCCATATTTTGATTATTTTCCGTTACAGTTCCGCAGAGTATCGATTTATTTTCTGTAACAATTTATCAAAGGTATAGCAATTCTGATAAAAAAAAAAAAAAAAAGTTTCCAACTCATAGTTAAAGTTTTCGGCAGTGGTATGGGATTCCTTTTTAATTGAAAACATTTGTTAAACCCTGATTTGAATGAATTCGCAGATTTGTTATGATGTTTATATTAACGACCCTTCCAATAACACGCTATTTACCGCGTGTTATTACATCGTAGTCAGAAGGAATCTTGTAATGGTGGTTAACATATTGTACTGTCGTTATTACTGGTAATCATATAAATTCCTCGAGGTATTTATGGAAGCGTAATTCACGAGGAGATACGATGCCAGATTTAAGCATTGAAACAATCGAAACATAATTATCGCTGTTTATTTTGTAAATATATATCCTTGTGATTATGTTGTATGAAAACAGCACGTCGTCACCTTGTTAGAGTCACGTGCAGGCTCGGTCCTCTCCTACTGCTTCTTCCTAACACCCAGACAGAGGTCACTGGAATAAGTGCAATTGTTGCAACTTCTTTACTAGCCAGTGACACTTTAGACATAATAAGGTATATTTTTGTTTGGATTCAAAGGGAAGATATTTTCGGCTGACAGGAATGCTCTTAGCATACCCAAAAGTCTGTATAATTCGATATGTTTGAATTCGCGTTCGTCTCTCCTTATGTGTAAACCCAAAATATGTCAAATCTCGCGGAATTTTTGTTACCAACTGGGATTGTTTAAAATCCCGTCATATACGTATATTTACGTTTCATTGTGATAAGTAGGAAAATTCCATGAAACAAGTATGTGTCGTCGAAGGGATTTTTAATCGAAAGATTTGTAAGTCAAGTTTTTGAGAGGATTTCTAATAAACCGGTGCAAAATAATCTTTTGATATTCTCATGGAAGTATCCCATTACTTTAAAAGTCCATGAAAATGCATGTTTGTTTTATAAACAGCAGGACACTGCAGCGACAGTTGCCAAAAACCTTTGTTTATTATATCACTGACCAGTGTTTATTATATCACTGACCAGTGCGGTCCTGATAAAACCTTTGTTTGTTATATCACTGACCAGTGCGGTCCTGGTATAACCTTTGTTTATTATATCACTGACCAGTGTTTATTGTATCACTGACCAGTGTTTATTATATCACTGACCAGTGCGGTCCTGATATAACCTTTGTTTATTATATCACTGACCAGTGCGGTCCTGGTATAACCTTTGTTTGTTATATCACTGACCAGTGTTTATTATATCACTGACCAGTGTTTATTATATCACTGAACAGTGCGGTCCTGATATAACCTTTGTTTATTATATCACTGCCCAGTGCGGTCCTGATAAAACATTTGTTTATTATATCACTGACCAGTGCGGTCCTGATATAACCTTTGTTTATTATATTACTGACCAGTGCGGTCCTGATAAAACATTTGTTTATTATATCACTGACCAGTGCGGTCCTGGTATAACCTTTGTTTATTATATCACTGACCAGTGTTTATTATATCACTGACCAGTGCGGTCCTGATAAAACTTTTGTTTATTATATTACTGACCAGTGCGGTCCTGGTATAACCTCACGGCCGACGACGGTACGGTCAATTGTGTTGCCAGTACTTTGTCGGGTATAGATAAATCTATCATGACCACCTCGGCATCAAATTGTCTGCCTCACATTGCTTACTTGTCAATATGAGTATATTAACTGTTCTGAAATTAAAATACATATTTGTTATGGTTGCTATGACCTTTGATTAGCAGGACAGACTCCGTATCACTCTAAGTAAAGAACATGTAAGGACCTTTTGTTAAAAACCAAATCCAGGACCAGAAAACCACTCGGTCATATTTACTGATTTAAAATGTTCTGAACAATCTGATATAACTTCAAGTCTCTACTAATCAAGCCTCATTTCAATGGGGCAGTTGATCTAATTAATTAACCAGTATTGTACAAACCTATTTACTAATGGTTTATATTAATGTGACTTTAATTCTATACACTGACGGTATAATGTGACCGGGCGGAACGCTGTGTTGGGTGCTTTCGGCATGGATTTTCAGTGAGATAGCACTATAAAGTCGGCATCAGATCCGCGCTATCACAAAGAGACAATTACACCAACATGCCCGGCCTCCGGCACACATACACACATGCACGCTTACACAACTCACATGGAGGCACGTCCTTAAATTACCTTAGCTGTTAATAGGACGTTAATCGAAATTAAACCAAAACCAAAACTAGACACTGACGCATCTTAACGAGAGTAGTCTGTGTATTTGACAGCACAGGGTCCCGGCACTCTATGGGTGGAGGGATGGTAGGATTACTTAATTACAATGGAGGACACACTAATTAAGTGTCTTGTCCCTGTGTTTTAGAGCTGATTTTAATTATGGAAGAGTTCATACATCACCGGTTTTATTTCTGAAATGTTGACGAATGTTATTCTCTTGTCTTGTTTGAATGTTGGATTAAGGATATAAACTTATTCAATATTTAAAGTTATAAATTTGTGTCGATTTGACGCCGTCAAAAGATGTCGTTTCACGGTTAGAACTTGAGAAGTTCTTTCACAGTTTACAGACAAGAGGTGTTCCGAGAAAATAGTACAGAAGGCGTTAATTCTAATTTTAAGACGACATTGTACATTTTACGTGTTTCTTTTCACAGTCATATGAATATTTCAAGCTGTGTCTCTACATATGAAATTTCAATAATATATCAAAATGTTTAATACTTGAAAATATCCTGAATACAAATCGATTATGAACCGATGAGGCCTCAGACGGATGGAAGTGATATTTCGGAAGTAAATAGTTATTATCTTCGTCAGTTGTTCTGTGCCATGATTGTTAAACTTGACATAATGGAGGAAATTAAATCAATTAATATTTTGCCGATCTTATATGAAATTTGTTTTTTGTTCTTCTTGTTTGTGACTGATGTTATTGATGTTCATGAAATGATGGAAGAAATAAAACATGTTGTTAATATTTTGAAGATAGAAATGTTTGTTGTTTTTCGTGTACAAACTGACACTCTGTATGCGAGAGTCGCCTCCCCTTGCTTCAACTCTTTCATAGCCTTTTATTTTATTTGCAATATGCAACAATGCCTTTGTGCTTTACACACATTTAAACATGACAATGACATAATGGCAATAATAAATACATATTTACATGAATTTTATAGCAGCAAAATAACACACGTTTACAAGGAACATATTCATTCACAATAGTAAGCATGAACACAGGATGCAATAGACTTTTAACAAAAAATTAATGCGAAGCGAAGGATGCAAGGAATTAATTTGATTCACACATTAAACAAAATTGCATGTCTTATAGTTAAATTTCTAATAATAAAATTGTTTTCTGAAGAAACAAGTTCAACAAATCTGTCCATATTTGGTCTACAGTAATATGTTTTTTCAAAAAATTTGATCTAATTTCAGAGTATAACGGGCATTCCATAACAAATTGATATTCATCTTCAATTTTAGTACACACACTACAATATCGCATTTCTGCAGGTATTGGGTTAGGTCTATGCCATCTCCCTGTTTCTATATTTAATCTATGGGCAGATATACGAAGCGCTGTTAAAGATTTTCTATTTTTTTAACGTTTACTATATCAAGATATTTCTTATAACTCATTTGATAAACGTATATAACATCTTGCTCTTGGCGAGTCAACAAGAGCACTATGCCAATCCTGTATAAAAATATCCCTCACTCTGGTCTGAAATAATTCTAAAAATACTTTTTCATCTCCAACTCCTTGTTCGATCCATACATGTCCGAAACCATAAGTACATAATAATGTTTTCACTAACTTTGCCCAATTTATCACACGTGACGTGTCCGCTCGTGTATAAAGCTCACCATAGACTGACTGGACTAAAACGTTTTTCTGTTTATGACCAATATTTCATATTTTTAACGTATCTTTTAAATTTAAGGGGAAGACAACCCAGTTCTCCATAAACAAAATTGTTTTGCGTAGAAGATTTAACTCCGAGTAACCGCTTACAAAATTTCAAGTGCAGTTTTTCTATCGCCATCGCCGAATGAAAACCCCAAACTTCACATCCGTAACTCAATACAGGTCATACTAGTTTATCAAACAAACCATACACATGCTTTGGTGTTAAATTTATAAATTTTTGTAACTGTTTTTCTAATTGAAATAAAGATTTCGAGTCTTGGCCCGATACAGTTAATTGCGCTTCAGAAAACGACCCACCTGGAGTAAAAGCAACCCCTAAAAATGAGAACTTCTTAACTATCTGCATCCCATCCTCACCGAAGTAAAATCTTAAATTTTCTGGTAATCTTCCTCATATCATCTCCGACGAAGACAATTTTGCCACAATAATTCGGCCTCAGCAGGCCTATTTTAGCCTCCTGAAATATAAAGATACATTTAGAATAAGTGATGTTTTCATGCTTATTAAAACTAAAACAAAATACAAATGTCCACATATCCAAACTGATGACTAACCTTCAGACAATTTAGACAAAACTATTAATTTTTACACACGTTTAAAGAAATCACCGCTTTACTCTTCCTGAATTCATCAATATAAACAGGTGCACTCTGATTCCTAGGGTCTAGATGTAACGAAAATGAAAACGGACGAACCGTCATTCCATCAATGGTAGAACTATGCATGATCCAGAAAGACAGCTGGAGATTACACCGTCCTTAAATTACCATAGCTGTTGATAGGACGTTAAACAATACTAAACCAAACCAATACTATGAACAATCCGTCGCAACATTATGTTTAACCTTGACTAGGGTGTGAAGCCCTGTCATCTCGGGTGTGGTAACCTTCCGTAAGCGTAATCAACACTAATAGACGGTTTTTGGGGAGTACTTTTCAATGAAACTTGCATGGACGAAAAATGTTGTGTTTCCTTATCACAGGACTATGCTATTTTCTAAAATTAAAAAAAAAAAAATGTTTAAATCATCGACAAAAAACAAGTGTTATTTCAAACGGACAGTGTGGCACTATAGGTACCGTGAACCTTGGATCCTTGATGTTTCTTATGGTCAATTGTAGAGTTCATGATATAATTACCAAGTGTATAATTTGGCCATGTTGACCACAAAAAGTATCTAATAGATTTTCTAGGATGGAATACGTTTGTAAAGAAGATGATGTTCACAGTAAGGTAACGTGTGTTATTATGTTTTGAATCACAACTGTTTTCTTAATTAGTAAACTTCGAACATAAACTGGAATTTCAATGATCATTCAAGATCGTAATAAATCTAGTTTTTTTGCTACAATTCGGCTGGAACTGGTTTTAAATCAATAGTTTACAAGGTTACGTTAATCTGTGACCTGTGCAAGTTATTTCAGGAAGTAGTGTTGGCCTTTTCAGAAACAAATACTGTCAGCATTTATATGAACAAAATGGTGTTATAAAATGCGGCGATAATTAACGAAGAGTCATTAAGAATTGTTGAAAAATCCTGCTAAAACTCTGACAGTAAAATGAATAATTGAGGTGGCAAATGAAACGGGGACATTGTATCAAAATGTTTTGGTCTTGGTTTAAAATTTGACCAATATGACGTCATGCTGAGTCGGTGCAGTGAAAGGTGACTACTCTCTAGTAAGTACGTACATGTACTGTATACATCGGTACATGTACGAGTCATAGACATGTACACCCAATTAAGGTAAAAAAAAAGTGATGATGCGGTCAACTGACGGATGGCCATGGGATGGGTGAGTGATATAGCGAGACATGGATTTTTGCCTTGCAGTTAAAATTTAAAGTGCATATTCTAAAGAGTCTAGATTAAAGAGTACCGAGATAGAATCCTGCTTTTCATGTAATAAAAATGGCTATGAGGTCATTTCAGGTGATAAGTAATACACAACGACCCACACCGATTTGACCAGAGTGACGTCACCGTGAGTCTTAAGTACGTACTGTCCTTTTGGACAGGTGTGGGATGCTACCTTATGATGGATGGTAATGACAGCAATATTTACCTGTCTTAGGTACACATTTACAGGTAACTTACAGGTAACGTCTCACATACCTGCCCGGGGCCCCACAGTCTTGCTCTGGCTCGCGGGGAAACACATTTCTTACTAGTATATACTTCCTTGTTTTTCGTTACTTTATAATATAGTCAAGGACCACTGCTGTTAATATGTAAGGAATATGGAGTGTTAAAGGATTTGTAAAACTATATTGTGAATTGGAGAGTTTTGACCAGTATTTGTGTCTGTGACAATGACCAGCAGTGACCAGTCTCAGGTCCAGAGTCCGGTACTGGACATGTTGATGTGGTGGATGTTTATGTCCTGGATGGTCAGATACACTATGGCCAGTAAGTAAACACTATTTATTTACGTTAGGAGTTTGTCATCTTATCCCACTTTTCACTAATATTGTTACTTTTCTTTATCTGATTTTGTCCCAAAATATATGTTAGAACATTTTCTGTTTGTCACCAAAACCTATTTTTGCTTTTGCATTATACATCTTTGTACGCAAACATTTTATTAATTTTTATTTTATTTCTGCAAATGCCATCGCTTATCATCAAAATATAAACATTTACATTTGCATTCATAAGTTTTTTTTATATTTATTTGTCATGAAATATTTTGGTCAGTCGCGAGTTACTTTACTTTAAACTGAGCGTTCGCTTTATGTTATGGAGATCGGAAACAAAACGACCCTCCACATTCTAATTTGCAGTATTTATTTATGTTTCTCCATATAACCACCACCCACCACCATTATAATCTAATTATAAGTAACCATTATTTCTGGGGATTTATGTGAAAAAGTGATAACTTCCACAGAATTTCAGTTATTGCTTGACGATACTCTCGCTATAGTTCCGTATCTGAATGCTGAAGGTAGGCGTGTATTGGTTTACTTATATGCTACACGTGTATCTAGCTATACGCTACTAGTGTGTTCATGGCATATGTACGCGATACAGGTGTGAAATATGTATTGGTTTTGAAACATGATAGGTGCATTTAGTAACACGTGTGTTTTGTATCTAGCTAAACGATTCACGTGTGTAACTAGTTTCATGTGTGACATTTGTATCTAGCTACACGTGAATGAGTTGTAAAACTAGTTACACGTGTGTGGTATGTACCAAGTTACACGTGTGTGGTATATATCAAGTTACACGTGTGTGGTATGTATCAAGTTGCACGTGTCACATGACAGGTATACCTAGGTACATACTACACGTGTTGTATATGCTGAACGTATCTATAGTTACAAGTGTATGATGTGCCAGGGGTATCTAGCTACACGATACATGTGTTTTATATGCTAAGCGTATCTAGTTACACGTGTAAGAGATGCTAGTTGTATCTAATTACACGTGTAAGAGATGCTAGTTGTATCTCGTTACACGTGTAAGAGATGCTAGTTGTATCTTGTTACATGGTTTACGCGTATCTTATTTATCATTCAATTAAGGTTTAGCCGTTTTTCATTCGCTCTAAAACATCAAAGAGCGTGTTTCCATCACACGTGGTTAGACATCATACATGGAGCCGCTGTTTACACTCACGTACATTTCCGTAAACATGTAATATGGCGTGCATCATTGATCATCACCGAACATTCCGGACATTTCTAACAAAACCAAACACCACACTATTTACTCACATGCATAACAATCATTTATCATGATCCATTGTTCACATCCTCCTATGTCGGGTTCAGTTATCTTTGATGTGTGCGAATGTCCTCGACCTCGTCATTTACATAACACGGGAAACAACAACTAAAACAGGGTTGTGTTGTGTTACATGTAGATATAAAGTTAATATGATAGACTTAAAACTTAGCATCATGTTTAAAAGTCGTAGGCTGTTAGCATGCCAGCGAACCTGAATTCAAAAGTGATACTACAAAAATGTAACCAATTAAGATTTTTCTTCAATTTATTTTCGCTGCCTTTTAATAGTTCAATTTCACGTAATAGAACATGAAAATGTTTTTTTTTACTTTGTGAATATTTGGCCAATGTTTCAATGAACGACTATATGTAATTAAGGCTATAAGTAAAAGGTACGTAAACAAAGCAACACAAGGGAGATAAACCTAGTTAGGGTTATATTTTACAGACAGAGTAACGATAGAATGCTGTAGAATATATTTATAAATCTCGTTTACGCATCGAGTTGAACGCGAATCCATCTTCTTCTGACAGTCCTCGAAATTACGCGTGCGCTAAACTTACTCTTTAGAAAAAATCATGTGAAACTCATGTGAATCAATTTCACGTGAATTTCATGTGAATTTCACGTGAGTTTCAGCTGAAATGAGTTTCACGTGAAATTCACGCGAACAAAATTTGCCTGTGTATCTACACTATACGGCTGTCATGTGTTTACATATAAGCTCAAGACATAAAATTGTTGTTTGGACATCCGTTCATACATCTTCAGCAGGCTTGTCATTCATCATTTGGCACTACAGGTATATACAGGTATTTACAAAGACAGAGGCCTGTGAGTTACGGATTACTGTCGTCTCCTTGTTAACAACGTTTATATACAAAACATGTACCAGTCATCTGTGTGACGAATAACATTTCGCCTGGCATACTACGTTTGTATACATTCACAAACCAGTGTTTATGGACTGATGAACGCAATATAGCCCTGATCACTACGGTTATATACAGCAACATACCGTCTTTTTACCTCATTTAGTTTCTGTTTAACACTTCAGCTCTACACCTCAATTCAGTGTAGAAGGCTTTTGATCAAGACACTACACATGTCTTGGATTTTCACTACAAATTTTGTTTGATAACTGAATATTTAGCAAGAATGACATGGTTCGATATATATAATTAGTGACTGAAAGTTTACTGAATATTAAAGGAAACATCAGGAAGGGTGTAGTGATAACTTAGCATTGGGAGCTCCTGGATGGTTTATTTGGGGGAAGCACGCGTCTTTGTCTCATCCATATCAATCAAGGGGAAACAAAGTAATAATATATCGAAAGAATGAGAAAAAAACAAACAAAAGGTAAACAAGTAAAGTCATATATAAGATACTTTGAAATTGGTTTGCTGCTGATATTTGAGGATATTTTAGTATTAAAAGATATAAAGCATTATGGCTAATTTTCAATAGAAGTTCTGAACTTTCCATTGTACCATTAACAGGTAAAAATGATAAGTTAAAAGATTAATGTAAAACAATTTTTGACAAAGATAGCGCCCATGAATAATTGTGGGCGTAAAGCGACCAACTATATCCTGTCATACTCTGTGTTCGGTTCCTTCAATTAATTAAAAGGTGAAATTATGGCCGTGTTCGTATGTATTGACATTCCATGTCTAGGCAACGTGTTCCTGACAACCCTTTATTTCAGAGTTGACCCGTCCTACAGTCATATTTAATAATGGCTAGTTTGAAAACAAGAGATATTTTTTATTTTGTTGAAAAGTCTGTCAAATTCTATTATACACATTATTTATATGTATGAAGTTAAAATGCATCACATTCGGTTTGTTATTGTTGCCATATTGAACTCCAAACAAGTTTGCCCAAGGGAAGAAACATGAATAGCCACGCCCACCTTTGCCCAAGAGAGTAAGATTACAATGTATAACAAGAGATATCGAGGTACAATACCACTTCCTGGTTGTAATACAAGACTGACACACGTCGGGTGTCAGTCACCCTACACGGATGTGGATTTCACACTTGATTGATTGTAATGTACATATTAGTGTTTGAGTCACAATCTAAATATATATTCTTCCGCTGTATTTCGATAAAATTGATTATATCAGCGATATTTTTTTATTCTATTTAAATCGATTGTGAGTTTTGGGATCTGTCATGATTGCTGCACAATAACTACTTTTTGTTTGTTTTTGTTTTTTATATTATTTTTATACAGTGAAACATAAAATAAACATTGTTATCATATGATAACTTGATTTCCCACTTGAATTTCACACTGTAATGAGACACCATCATATTGTAACTAAAAATAAACCATATATTGAATAAATGATGATAATCTAGTTTGTCTTATATTTAAAATACTGCAATTGACCAATCAAAAACGTGTTATAGAATGCGGAGTTTAAAACAAACACGGTAATCGTTTTGTTTGCTCAACTACATATTTTTACACTCACAGAGCAGTAGTGAAGTAAGAATGCTTTGACCATCTTGTAATGTTCTTAGTTACACCAACATTTCTGGGTTGGACCAAATTTCTGTCAATCTACATCTTGTTTATACAACGATGATCACAGCAGGGGTTGATAGAAACATCTTGTGATGTTTGGTCCAAATGAAAACAACACAGCATGCCGTGTATGTATGTCAGTTTGATGAACTGTAACGTTAAATCGGACGGACAGAACTTGTGTTGCATTCAATAGGAATTTGTCTTGGGTGACATTCCATACCATAAACACCCCCAACAGACATGTCTATATAAACACCCCCTACAGACATGTTTATATAAACACCCCATACAGACATGTCTATATAAACACCCCCTACAAACATGTTTATATAAACACCCCCTACCGACATGTCTATATAAACACCCCATACAGACATGTCTATATAAACCCCCCCTACAGACATGTTTATATAAACACCCCATACAGACATGTCTATATAAAAACCCCATACAGACATGTCTATATAAACACCCCATACACACATGTCTATATAAACACCCCATACAGACATGTCTCTATAAACACCCCATACAGACATATATATAAACACCCCCTACAGACATGTCTATATAAACACGCCCTACAGACATGTCTATATAAACACCCCATACAGACATGTCTATATAAACCCCCCCTACAAACATGTTTATATAAACCCCCCCTACCGACATGTCTATATAAACACCCCATACAGACATGTATATATAAACACCCCATACAGACATGTCTATATAGACACCCCATACAGACATGTCTATATAAACACCCCAAACAGACATGTCTATATAAACACCCCCTACAGACATGCCTATATAAACACCCCATACAGACATGTCTATATAAACACCCCATACAGACATATATATAAACACCCCCTACAGACATGTCTATATAAACACACCCTACAGACATGTCTATATAAACACCCCCTACAGACATGTATATATAAACACCCCATACAGACATGTCTATATAGACACCCCATACAGACATGTCTATATAAACACCCCCGACAAACATGTTTATATAAACACCCCCTACCGACATGTCTATATAAACCCCCCATACAGACATGTCTATATAAACACCCCATACACACATGTCTATATAAACACCCCATACAGACATGTCTCTATAAACACCCCATACAGACATATATATAAACACCCCCTACAGACATGTCTATATAAACTCCCCTTACAGACATGTCTATATAAACTCCCCCTACAGACATGTTTATATAAACACCCCCTACAGACATGTCTATATAAACGCCCCCTACAGACATGTTTATATAAACACCCCCTTCAGACATGTCTATATAAACACCCCATACAGACATGTCTATATAAACACCCCCTACAGACATGTTTATATAAACACCTATATGTACTACATCATTTTAAAGTTTTCTATCTGACTTTTAATTTTCAAACGAACACATATTAAAGGTTCACATTTACTTATAATACTCAATGAGTTTGACCTCTTTACGCTTCAGTAATACTTAATGAGTTTGACCTCTTTACGCTTCAGTAATACTCAATGAGTTTGACCTCTTTACGCTTCAGTAATACTCAATGAGTTTGACCTCTTTACGCTTCAGTAATACTCAATGAGTTTGACCTCTTTACGCTTCAGTAATACTCAATTAGTTTGACCTTTTTACGCTTCAGTAATACTTAGTGAGTTTGACCTCTTTACGCTTCAGTAATACTTAATGAGTTTGACCGCTTTACGCTTCAGTAATAATCAATTAGTTTGACCTCTTTACGCTTCAGTAATACTTAATGCGTTTGACCTCTTTACGCTTGAGTAATACTTAATGAGTTTGACCTCTTTACGCTTCAGTAATACTCAATTAGTTTGACCTCTTTACGCTTCAGTTGATAGCATGTCGAAGTATTACAGTAGTGCATCAGTATAACATGTTCTCACTTCTACCATGTATATGCCATTCACGTGACTGTAATGACATTGCAATGGTCAACAAAATAAGTCTCTTGGACCTCAAATATAGACTCTGATAACTAACAATAGTGTAATTATTGGAGAGGAGAAGCGAGCATTGGTGTGATGAAGCATTTCCAACGGATGTATAGTGTGTGTCTTGCCGTCATGTATTCATCCTTTGATCATGCAGTGTCTTCTCTGTACAGGATTTGGAATTAGACATCAAGACAGAATTATTTTATAATAAGACATTTTACTTTTATGTTTGACTTATAACAATGCTATGTTTCAGATCCTTGTCCATCTGGTTCTTTCGGAGATTTGTGTCAATACAAGTGTCACTGCCAGTTTGGTGGCGCATGTTCACCCACAACAGGGGAGTGCTTTGCCGGATGCGAGGAGGGATACATAGGAAAACCTTCTTGTCAGATAGGTAGATAACTTTACTTTTTACAATGGTATTTAAACTCGGCGTTTGTCTGATATACCCGGTAATTGTATTAAAGAGGATAAATATTTCAAGTATGCATACAATTCAAACATTTAATGACGACACTAGTACGTATAAATAATATCCCGGTTAACAAGGTTCCAGATCAGAAACTTGTCCAAAATATAGAAGCTATTCGTTGAATGTTCGAGGCACGTGCGTTACGCGTTTATATGTTTTATCTCTTAACAATGGTCATTTCAGAAAATGTGGCGTTAGGAAAGAAAACTGACCAGAATGGGGACACGACAGTAACGTCCAGTCTGGTGGTGGACGGTGACCGGAGGAAGGATGGCTCCACGTACGCTTGTTCACGCGTGGTGGACACGAAATATCCCTTCATTGCCTGGTGGTACGTCGACTTGGGTAGGAACCACAGTCTCAACAGAATCAAGATCTACTTCAGGGACGACTGTAAGTTGGCCTCGTGTTTTGTAGCTCTTTAGGTTCAGGGATTAATTGGCCTTCTGTATTCCATAGCATGATCATGGGACGCAATAATTTGGAGGACCTTGTAGAATCGGGGGATTTCCTCTGTGTCTTCTCGTGAAAAGGAGTCGAAGAAAGCATATGTTCATCCCTCGACTATGTTTCTGCAATTTATTTCGGTGTCTGAAACTTTTCACATACCGTTTATCTATATTTTAACATAATATGAATATTTTGTGCAGATTGGCTGTTGAGACATCACTGATGATCTGCTACCGTGCAAAGATGTACAAAAATGGTTGTATTATTTCTATTTCGCCTTTACAGTGCCAATCAATAAGCCGAGACGAGAAGGGGTGAGGGTTTACGTAGCAGCCACGCCCTTTGATTTTAACAGTAACTCATTGTGTTACAAGGACGTTCTCAAGGTAAGGCTGTTCAGTGGGGCGACGTGGTTCAATGCTGGGAATTCATTTCATAATTCGATAATTGAAATGAAATATGTTTCATTAAATGAAATCAATCATTATTATTTTGTTTATATAAAAAGATAATCTAGAGTATTTTGATTATGAAAACGAAACTGGCATGTTCAAAATGATCATATCCACATGAACCTTATTTATATTTTTGCAGAAAATTTATGAAAAATCAATTTTAAAATTGATTCAAGATTTATTTAGTGCATAAAGCTTACTGCAACATATTGTCCTGAGCTTAATAAATATAATGTGTCATTATATTAATGTTCCTATTTTGCCTTTTCCTTTTTCCAGCTCAATTGTATTTGAACATATTTGTTTTTTTATTATGTTCAGTTGTTCCTAACCTTGTATTAATGTATAATATATATATTTATAAACCTTCACCATGTCTGTATTAATGTATACTTACCAGCCCTGAGTTCCAAACCTTGTATTAATGTTTACTATAAATATAATATAAATATAACATATATATCTATAAACCTTCACCATGTCTATATTAATGTATAATTACCAGCCCTGTGTTCCAAACCTTGTATTAATGTATAATATAAATATAATATAAATATAATGTCTGTATTAATGTATACTTACCAGCCCTGTGTTTCAAACCTTGTATTAATGTATAATATAAATATAATATAAATATAACATATATATTTCTAAACCTTCACCATGTCTGTATTAATGTATAATTACCAGCCCTGTGTTCCAAACCTTATTCAACAAAGGAATCCTGAACAGTTTGTCAGAGTGAGAAATAACTACCAGAACTTTGTTTATCTAATAATGAGATGAATTTATTTCAAATGCTAATGTTTTGTGTTTTTATATATAAGTTATAAGCTTATGCTAAAATATACTTAAAAAAAGAACGTTTCAAAGAATTAAAAAGTATGTTTATTACGATCAGGCGTTTTATCAATATCAACAATTTGTTTGTTTTTCCTTTGTAGAAAGATGGTATAATAGCGCCCCCGAATGTGTTAGACCTGAAGAATTGTTCCACCAGTGGGCGTTACGTGGTTGTATATAATGAGAGACCTCTCGTAGACCCCCTTAACTGTCCAACGGCTACCTATTCCTGCTGGGCTAACCTCGAGATATGTGAGGTGGAAGTTTATGGTAAGTACCACCAGTGGGCGTTACGTGGTTGTATATAATGAGAGACCTCTCGTAGACCCCCTTAACTGTCCAACGGCTACCTATTCCTGCTAGGCTAACCTCGAGATATGTGAGGTGGAAGTCTATGGTAACTACCACCAGTGGGCGTTACGTGGTTGTATATAATGAGAGACCTCTCGTAGTCCCCCTTAACTGTCCAACGACTACCTTTTCCTGCTGGGCTAACCTCGAGATATGTGAGGTAGAAGTCTATGGTAAGTACCACCAGTGGGCGTTACGTAGTTGTATATAATGAGAGACCTCTCGTAGCCCCCCTTAACTGTCCATCGACTACCCATTCCTGCTAGGCTAACCTCGAGATATGTGAGGTGGCAGTCTATGGTAACTACCACCAGTGGGCGTTACGTGGTTGTATATACTGAGAGACCTCTCGTAGACCCCCTTAACTGTCCAACGACTACCTATTCCTGCTGGGCTAACCTCGAGATATGTGAGGTGGAAGTCTATGATAAGTACTGATGAAGGGATTTCAGTTATAAGAGAATGACCAATAACTTAATTTACAACACAATTATACTCATTAATACGATAATAATATTGAAATCACATCGTAGAGTGAATGCTGGAATGAGCGTAATGCAGAGCTGAAAATGTTTTTTTTAACGCGTTCAGAAAGTCAATGTTGTTATGACCTCATGCATGTTGAAAAAATAATTTTCATTCCTTATATTTACAATTTTAAGTGCTTTAAATTTTCCGATGCAATCATAAATAAAAAAAATACAGGTATGGTTTTTCTTTTTATACATGGGGGCAACGCAGTGGAGAGAACTGCGTATTTTCGCGGGAAAATGTTAAACTTTCAATGGGAGTCCTAGCAACAGCATAACAACAAACAAACAAAACATGGTTCCATTTTTAAAATTTAATTTATAGAATTTCTACAAGTCGCATATTACTATCATATACTTTACACTCCTTATTTTAGCTTTAAAATCAAGCTAATCATGTTAATGTTAATTCATATTAGCATAACAAAACTACATCGTTGGCTGTTTCACCGCGGACGTGAAGCAAGCACGCCCTGAACTACGTCATTGTAGTGTATCAATTCGCGATAAAGAGGTCACCTGTTTATGCAAAAATGAATGTCATTTTCGTCAATGGGTCCAAGCATACAGATTGTAAATATTTAATTATAAAATTTAAAATGAAATAAGAGAAAGTTTGTTTTCTTTTAAACGTGTTTTCGGACATTTCTTCAATGAGATATTCATATATATAATCCATAAATACGAAATAACATGGCGCGGCATGACGTCACACTTTTTAGCATTTTGACGTGTAGTCTCAGATAGTGTGTTCTTTTGTTGGATAAGATCCATCATGCTATTTTATCATCATTCAGATCTATCACCTGTTGGATGCCTTCGTATGATGAAAGTGCATGCTTGTAATTATTTAATATCATAAATATTGTATTGTAAACCGTTGTGTTTCAGCGTGTACTGACGGAACGTTTGGCGATAACTGTGACAACTTCTGTCACTGTAAGAACGGAACATGTGATCAAAATACGGGCATTTGTCCAGGAGGAGAATGCCGGGAAGGATGGAAGGGGGAGCAATGTGACGTTGGTAAGATTTTTTGTTTTTGTTTTTTGTACGTCGTCATCGGTTTCAAGAAGTATATCTTAAAAATAAATACTGTGCAATCATGGGGAATAGTTTTTGTATGCGATTCATTTCAAGGATTTCGTAAAACCCTTTTTTTTAATACGAATTTTAATGTTTCATGAAACTGGTTGTCAAGTACAATGGAGAAACTAATCTCGTAAGAAATATGGCCATGTTACTTATTTTTTTCTAATTCCCCACGAAAGAACTACATCTGAAATACCACGAAATTTAAGCGCAAGCATACAAAGAAGGCAAACTATTTAAATGTTCAGTGTCTTTCAGTGTCACTTGCCAAAAGGAAATGCTGGTATGTATGTTATGCTGTGAAAACATCCAAGTGTGCACGTTTATTGATGTTTCTCTTATTTAAATGATTGTGAAATTTGACGTCATAGGTTGCCCGGATGGAAAATATGGTATCGGGTGTAATGAGACTTGTGGGAGGTGTCGTGATGGTGACGTATGTGAGACTTTGTTTGGCACGTGCCCCAACGGCTGTGAGGCTGGCTTTGACGGTCCCGCGTGTAAGGATGGTACGTATTGTATTCTTTTCAGGACCATATCTGCTAAGATTATATATTGTCAAAAAATAAAAATGTCGTGGAAATTGAAAAAAAGCTACTACGTTATGATGAAATGCAAGGGTATTTTTATCCCTAACTTTGTAGCAAAAGAGTAGGTTATCAGTTATCAAATAAGCCTAGATTTAGTTTAGCTAGTATCTTTCATGACAACTACATACACAACTGATAAGAAAATAATTGAAAGAGAACTTTACAGATCTGTTGGTCATGCAATGATCGATCGATCCATACCTCACTGTTTAATGTGAGGAGCAATCCGAATCCATTTTACGAACCGTTCACAGTCCACGTCATGATAGAATGGGACAATCAATGCATGGGTTTGCCATATTGACTATATGCATATTCAATTTCTGGGTGCAAGTATTGAAAGAGTGTTATCATTTTCACGAGAAATAGCTTTGTATTGCACGGTATATTTCTGGCTGGGTATGATATATAAAACTATATTTTTTTCGCAAAACGTAAGACAAGCTTATTTTGATTGGATCCTTGTTTGCAGCCTGCCCAGACTTCACCTATGGCCAGACGTGTCTTGGGAAGTGTGACAACTGTGCTAACAGTACAGACTGTGACAAGGTGACGGGATTCTGTCCCGGCAGGTGTGACAGGGGATGGCATGGCGTCAGGTGTGACGAACGTAAGATATCATGTATTTTAAATCATGGAGTTAAGTGGCAAAAAGCAACAAGTTAAGGATAGTTATGAACATGCAAGGATGCTTTTTTATCAGAACCTCTACCCATTTACATAATATGAAACTAAGCATTGACAAGATTTTGTAAACATCTTATTAATTTTGGATGAACTAAACATAAAATTTCTATTGAGAAATTAAAAAATATGCTTAATATATACCTACTATTCTATGTATTATCATACCGATATATTCGTCACAGGGTGTCCAGCTGGGACGTTTGGAATTAAATGTGACAAAAGATGTGGTCAGTGCCGTGGTGGTGACCAGTGTGACATCAACTCCGGCCAGTGTCCGAGCGGCTGTGAGCCGGGCTACGCCAAACCCTACTGTACAGGACGTAAGTAGACCTTTGTTTTACCTAACTCGTATTCATTAAGTGTACATTGTCAAGGGAATCGTTGTTACAAACTTAGTCAGCTTATCTAATCGTCAATTCAAATGTTCGAATTTAATTGTTTTGCTTTATTTTGGTCGGGTTGGTAATTAATAAAAGTGTATGTGATGCTCCAAGGTTTCAATACAACATATCAGGCTTTTACAACAGGGCCAGCGTTATTTAACAGGATCTTGGTTTTCAAAGCATAGTAATCTTAAAAGCACGTTAACGCACAATTTCTCAAATTTTGTTATCTAAAGAATAATCGTTAAAATTGTATAGATAGTTACGAAATATTCGTAATAACATGAAGACAAGAAACACACATTTCATAATAAATTTATGTAAAAAATATTGTGAAAATTTGAGATAAAAATTATTAAGCTTATCATGTTTGATCAATGAGATCTTCAATTTCTCTATTGTGTAATACATAACAATGATAAATGGCATCAATTATTATTATCTATATTCTGTATACGTTCACATCTGTATTAATCTCACCGGGTGACGGGTTCTGGTATGGCTGGTTGAAGATTAAGTTGCATATTATTTCATTTAATCCTTCCGGTTGTGGTTCTGATAACTATGTGTCTTTAAAAGTACTTATTTGATATTATGGGGTTTTCATATAGGTACAGTGGAGTTTCATTAATCTGTCTATACTTGCTTCTACCTTAACCTGAATAAGAAACAGCAGTAGTTTTACTACTGGAAGGCAAATATATGTAACCTAAACACTGATCGACTAAATATCTAGCAGGACAAACGGACCGGAAGTCGCTGGATGCATGCTGCTCGACTGTTTATGTTAGGGACAAGGTCGATGTCAGTTTTTCAATGTTTCTGGAACATTTTACTATTTTGTCTGTTCACCTCTCAGATTGTCCTAAAGGAACATTCGGTGTAAATTGTTCACGAAAATGTAGCACATGTAACACGGAAATGTGCCATCACGTAACCGGAAGTTGCATCACAGGTTGTAAAGCTGGATGGACAGGCCCCACTTGCCTTAAACGTAAGACGAATTTATAGTATGAGATTTCAAAATTATTTAAGACATCAAATTATATATTTTAATTCAAACTCTGTTTTTGTTTCCTCACCAGAATTTAGTTACTTTCTACTATTGAAGACATATATCAATACATTTTAATTCTAGTGATTAAAACAGTTTAACTGAACACAATATCAATTATTTTATAAACTTGATGACTCTAATACTGAAGAATTCAAGCATTGCCGAGAGATATAAAACAGCCTCAAAGGTAAATACGTGTCTCTGACATCTAACGATGTGTCATGGCCGTTCGTGTATCATTTGATGTAGCATGCGGACAAGGACTATTTGGTGAAAATTGCGGAAGGTCATGTGACCATTGTCGTGACAGAAAGTGTAGTCACGTGACCGGACTGTGTGTGCAAGGATGCGTAGGGGGTTGGCGAAATCCTCGATGTGACCAGAGTAAGTCTAATGAACTATTTATTGTATAGCGTTATAGTGGTTATACTAACCCATTACTTCTCACTTCTATTCTATGTTTAAATGCATGATATCTATATTTTCGAGTTTCTCAGTCACTCTTAATATGGCCAATACTGGCTTTTATTTAACATGTTTTCTAGCATGCTTGGTAATGTTGACATGCATATATTTATACATGTATATAAAAATACTATAATTACATTGTATGCACAACTAACAGTCATAATGCGACATACATGGACATATGTTGTTAGTGTTAATGTGTAATTGTCATAGTACGTGCCGATGATATAACTTACCAAACACCACAGTTTACGAATGGAAGGGTTCAATGTGTACTTATACTGTATTCAAGCTAGACCCTTTTTTACTGCAGTGTGTCCACCAGGAACCTTTGGAAGTGACTGTAGCGCCGCCTGCGGCTCATGTGCAAACAGCGGCCCATGTCACCATGGAAACGGTGTGTGTACTGAAGGATGCGCTGACGGATGGAATGGTACTCGATGTGACAAAGGTACTGAACAAATAACTTTTGTGAAATCCCTCCTCACAAACAGTCCAAGGTCTTTGTCACCTCGAAACAAAATTACCTGAAACTACAGCCCGTTTTATATTAGCTGTATAATAACAATATCTTAGAACAATTCGCAAAAACTCTGGTCGGATAAAATATTTAATAGTACTAAAAAGGTTTTAATATGCTTTAAATGCAGTCAAATTTCGTTATCACAAAAACGAGATAACCATATTATTTCGAAGATGAATTTTGGTCTTCCAACAATTTATTACATTTTGTTTATATTTTTATTTTATTTTATTTTTTGTCATAACGAATGCATCCTCGAAATCAGGGGTGCATACAAGGTATGTGTTCTCGAGCGCGGAACACTTCGATGTCGAGAGGATGAATGAAGGTTGACTGTATATAACATTGTATAGCGTGTCTTCATATCATTGGGACTAACTCATTGCTACGTAAACTTTACGATTACACATCTTAATACCATACACCTGACATCCACATGTATTTATAGCCTGTCCGGACGGTACGTATGGTCTACAGTGTGCTCGCCCGTGCGGTCAATGTAGGAATAGGACAGTCTGTCATCATGTGACGGGATTGTGTGAGCTGGGCTGCTCCGAGGGATTCGTCGGTCCTAATTGTAAGTAACCCCTGTCTATGTCGGTGTCAGGTTAAATAGGGACTTATGACGTTAATGCACGTTGTCAAGCATATCTAACTGGTTAACAAGTTATGTTACAAGATTTGAAAGTATTGATTTATATGTAACACTGACGAAGATATCAACAATAGCATGACGTCATTGTTTCATGTAACAGTTATTGATACAGAAATAAAACCAAAAAAAACCCGGTATACTACCTATCTTTTGCGTATATTGCCTATTTTCGTGTACATTGGCGTTAAACATCGATCGCTCAATTATCTCATACACAATATTTATTACGTAAGAAAGACAAGTGAAGTAAATAGCGGATTAATATTCACGAGAAAAGTGTGGATAAATCAGCTCGTGTAATTCAAGTATTCGTAAAATATCAGTAATCAAAGTAGTAGTTTTTGGGACAAATTTGTGTCTCCATATCTCTAGCTTATGAATTGAGAATAATCAACTACTAATGTATATAATACCATCTCATTGATTTCTAGTACTTAGGCCTGGGAAGTTTTGTCTATAAATACGGTTTTGGAGAGAAATTCAAATTTCACGTTAATAAATTAAAACAAATTCAACCTGCATCAAAATATATCATATGTAAGATTTATTTTCTTTACTTAAACTACTGGTAAACTAAAACAGATACAACCGAGTTATCAATCATAAAGTATAGTATAGTATAGCATAGTGACAAGTCCAAAGTAGAATAGAAAAGAAACACACACAAAACAGCATCAACAGAAAAGTATGAAATAAAAGTATTTACGAGAAAATAAAACAGAAAAAATAAATCAACAAAAGCAGGAGACATCACAAGTAAAGGATGACGTCATCAACCCTAGCACACATAAATAATGACGTCATCAACCCTAGCACAAATAAATAATGACGGTATGGGCAGTAAACGTATAACATACTGTTTATTACAGGTAGGTTATAAAGCAAAGACTCGCATTCACACATTTGTTTTATTTTACAGGTGGAAAGAAATCTGTGAATACCGATGGCGAGGTTGTGATTCAGAGTGCAATCATAGGTGGCGCTTTAGCCCTCGTCTGTATCGTCGGCATCATAGTACTTGTCTGTTTAGCCAGGTAAGGGATCAAGTGACTCTTATGTTTTGTCATTGTTTTCTTGTTCATTGTTTTTTCTCGACGACGACACTCATCCTTACATTGTATGTCTGACGTCATAAACACAAGCTTACCTTTTATCGTAAACAACATCAACTTTATACCGAATATTGTCTTAACATAAAAAGTCGTGAAAACTTCCTGGTGGTCACCTACCCCTGATAAACGGACATACCAAAAGTCAAGTCTAACTTGCAGATATAATGCAAAGACTGTTGTCTACAATTAGGCAAAGAAAACGAAATTTATCAATTTAATATTAGGTAGTTTGTTTTAAGGCAATGGAGGAGGAAATTGCGTATTCAGAAGAAGAGGGGAACAGAGGCACCTGGAGATTCAGAGGCCAATGACGCCAACATCCAGAATACAACGTACCAAAACGCTAATATCAACAATGGTAAGTACAGGGAAGGATGTAAGGCTATCAGTTATAAGAAGAGATATCAACAATGGTAAGTACAGGGAAGGATGTAGGGGTGTCAGTTATAAGGAGATATATCAACAATAGTAAGTACAGGGAAGGATGTAAGGGTGTCAGTTATAAGGAGATATATCAACAATGGTAAGTAGAGGGAAGGATGTAAGGCTATCAGTTATAAGAAGATATATCAACAATGGTAAGTACAGGGAAGGATGTAAGGGTGTCAGTTATAAGGAGATATATCAACAATGGTAAGTACAGGGAAGGATGTAAGGCTATAAGTTGTAAGGAGATATATCAACAATGGTAAGTACAGGGAAGGATGTAAGGGAGTAAGTTGTAAGGAGATATATCAACAATGGTAAGGACAGGGAAGGATGTAAGGGTGTCATTTATAAGGAGATATATCAACAATGGAAAGTACAGGGAAGGATGGAAGGGTGTCAGTTATAAGGAGATATATCACTATCAGTTATAAGGAGATATATCAACATGGTAAGTACAGGGAAGGATTTAGGGGTGTCAGTTATAAGGAGATATAGCAACAATGGTAAGTACAGGGAAGGCTGTAAGGGTGTCAGTTATAAGGAGATTCAACAATGGTAAGTACAGGGAAAGATGTAAGGGTGTCAGTTATAAGGAGACATATCAACAATGGTAAGTACAGGGAAGGCTGTAAGGGTGTCAGTTATAAGGAGACATATCAACAATGGTAAGTACAGGGAAGGCTGTAAGGGTGTCAGTTATAAGGAGATATATCACTATCAGTTATAAGGAGATATATCAACAATAGTAAGTCCAGGGAAGGATGTAAGGCTATCAGTTGTAAGGAGATATATCAACAATGGTAAGTGCAGGGAAGGATGTAAGGCTATCAGTTGTAAGGAGATATATCAACAATGGAAAGTACAGGGAAGGATGTAAGGGTATCAGTTATAAGGAGATATATCACTATCAGTTATAAGGAGATATATCAACACTAGTAAGTACAGGGAAGGATGTAAGGCTATCAGTTGTAAGGAGATATATCAACAATGGCAAGTACAGGGAAGGATGTAAGGCTGTCAGTTATAAGGAGATATATCACTATCAGTTATAAGGAGATATATCAACAATTAAGTACAGGGAAGGATGTAAGGCTGTCAGTTATAAGGAGATATATCAACAATAGTAAGTCCAGGGAAGGATGTAAGGCTATCAGTTGTAAGGAGATATATCAACAATGGTAAGGACAGGGAAGGATGTAAGGGTGTAAGTTGTAAGGAGATACATCAACAATGGTAAGTACAGGGAAAGATGTAAGGGTGTCAGTTATAAGTAGATATATCAACAATGGTAAGTACGGGGAAGGATGTAAGGCTATCAGTTGTAAGGAGATATATCAACAATGGTAAGGACAGGGAAGGATGTAAGGGTGTCAATTATAAGGAGATATATCAACAATTAAGTACAGGGAAGGATGTAAGGGTGTCATTTATAAGGAGATATATCAACAATTAAGTACAGGGAAGGATGTAAGGCTATCAGTTGTAAGGAGATATATCAACAATGGCAAGTACAGGGAAGGATGTAAGGGGGTAAGTTGTAAGGAGATATATCAACAATGGTAAGTGCAGGGAAGGATGTAAGGCTATCAGTTGTAAGGAGATATATCAACAATGGTAAGGACAGGGAAGGATGTAAGGGTGTCAGTTAGATGTAAGGCTATCAGTTATAAGGAAATATATCAACAATAGGAAGGACAGGGAAGGATGTAAGGCTATCAGTTGTAAGGAGATATATCAACAATGGTAAGTACAGGGAAGGATGTAAGGCTATCAGTTATAAGGGGTATATCAACAATGGTAAGTACAGGGAAGGATGTAAGGGTGTCAGTTATAAGGAGATATATCAACATGGTAAGTTCAGGGAAGGATGTAGGGGTGTCAGTTATAAGGAGGTATATCTCCTTATAATTGACACCCTTACATCCTTCCTTGTACTTACCATTGTTGATATACCCCTTATAACTGATAGCTTTACATACTTCCCTGTACTTACCATTGTCAGTTATAAGGAGATATATCTCCTTATAATTGACACCCTTACATCCTTCCCTGTACTTCCCATTGTTGATATATCTCCTGTTGATATATCTCCTTATAACTGACAATGGTAAGTACAGGGAAGGATGTAAGGGTGTCAATTATAAGGAGATATATCAACAATGGTAAGTACAGGAAAGGATTTAAGGCTATCAGTTATAAGGAGATATATCAACAATGGTAAGTACAGGGAAGGATGTAAGGCTATCAGTTATAAGGAGATATATCAACAATGGTAAGTACAGGGAAGGATGTAAGGCTATCAGTTATAAGGAGATATATCAACAATGGTAAGTACAGGGAAGGATGTAAGGCTATCAGTTATAAGGAGATATATCAACAATGGTAAGTACAGGGAAGGATGTAAGGCTATCAGTTATAAGGAGATATATCAACAATGGTAAGTACAGGGAAGGATGTAAGGCTATCAGTTATAAGGAGATATATCAACAATGGTAAGTACAGGGAAGGATGTAAGGCTATCAGTTATAAGGAGATATATCAACAATGGTAAGTACAGGGAAGGATGTAAGGCTATCAGTTATAAGGAGATATATCAACAATGGTAAGTACAGGGAAGGATGTAAGGCTATCAGTTATAAGGAGATATATCAACAATGGTAAGTACAGGGAAGGATGTAAGGCTATCAGTTATAAGGAGATATATCAACAATGGTAAGTACAGGGAAGGATGTAAGGCTATCAGTTATAAGGAGATATATCAACAATGGTAAGTACAGGGAAGGATGTAAGGCTATCAGTTATAAGGAGATATATCAACAATGGTAAGTACAGGGAAGGATGTAAGGCTATCAGTTATAAGGAGATATATCAACAATGGTAAGTACAGGGAAGGATGTAAGGCTATCAGTTATAAGGAGATATATCAACAATGGTAAGTACAGGGAAGGATGTAAGGCTATCAGTTATAAGGAGATATATCAACAATGGTAAGTACAGGGAAGGATGTAAGGCTATCAGTTATAAGGAGATATATCAACAATGGTAAGTACAGGGAAGGATGTAAGGCTATCAGTTATAAGGAGATATATCAACAATGGTAAGTACAGGGAAGGATGTAAGGCTATCAGTTATAAGGAGATATATCAACAATGGTAAGTACAGGGAAGGATGTAAGGCTATCAGTTATAAGGAGATATATCAACAATGGTAAGTACAGGGAAGGATGTAAGGCTATCAGTTATAAGGAGATATATCAACAATGGTAAGTACAGGGAAGGATGTAAGGCTATCAGTTATAAGGAGATATATCAACAATGGTAAGTACAGGGAAGGATGTAAGGCTATCAGTTATAAGGAGATATATCAACAATGGTAAGTACAGGGAAGGATGTAAGGCTATCAGTTATAAGGAGATATATCAACAATGGTAAGTACAGGGAAGGATGTAAGGCTATCAGTTATAAGGAGATATATCAACAATGGTAAGTACAGGGAAGGATGTAAGGCTATCAGTTATAAGGAGATATATCAACAATGGTAAGTACAGGGAAGGATGTAAGGCTATCAGTTATAAGGAGATATATCAACAATGGTAAGTACAGGGAAGGATGTAAGGCTATCAGTTATAAGGAGATATATCAACAATGGTAAGTACAGGGAAGGATGTAAGGCTATCAGTTATAAGGAGATATATCAACAATGGTAAGTACAGGGAAGGATGTAAGGCTATCAGTTATAAGGAGATATATCAACAATGGTAAGTACAGGGAAGGATGTAAGGCTATCAGTTATAAGGAGATATATCAACAATGGTAAGTACAGGGAAGGATGTAAGGCTATCAGTTATAAGGAGATATATCAACAATGGTAAGTACAGGGAAGGATGTAAGGCTATCAGTTATAAGGAGATATATCAACAATGGTAAGTACAGGGAAGGATGTAAGGCTATCAGTTATAAGGAGATATATCAACAATGGTAAGTACAGGGAAGGATGTAAGGCTATCAGTTATAAGGAGATATATCAACAATGGTAAGTACAGGGAAGGATGTAAGGCTATCAGTTATAAGGAGATATATCAACAATGGTAAGTACAGGGAAGGATGTAAGGCTATCAGTTATAAGGAGATATATCAACAATGGTAAGTACAGGGAAGGATGTAAGGCTATCAGTTATAAGGAGATATATCAACAATGGTAAGTACAGGGAAGGATGTAAGGCTATCAGTTATAAGGAGATATATCAACAATGGTAAGTACAGGGAAGGATGTAAGGCTATCAGTTATAAGGAGATATATCAACAATGGTAAGTACAGGGAAGGATGTAAGGCTATCAGTTATAAGGAGATATATCAACAATGGTAAGTACAGGGAAGGATGTAAGGCTATCAGTTATAAGGAGATATATCAACAATGGTAAGTACAGGGAAGGATGTAAGGGTGTCAGTTATAAGGAGATATATCAACAATGGTAAGTACAGGGAAGGATGTAAGGGTGTCAGTTATAAGGAGATATTATTGTATCATTACTTTTAACAAAGAGATGCATTTTCTTTAATCGAATACTTAGAAATGTAGAACAAAAAATGTTTTCGTTTTTATTTAACTTGTTTTGTTGAATAGTTATTTTCTCCAAATGCCTCCATGACAGTAACTTTTGTTTTATTATAACCAACATTCATGGTGACTTGTTTTGCAATCTGGCAGTTTATGAAATGGTAGTGTTAAGAGAGTCTATGTAAGCAGTGATATCCTGTGAACAACCCGTCTATCTTATATTAAGTAACACACATGATTAAATAACATGTTTATACTATAATTTGGTAAGGATACATTAAACTAATTAAAGTAATTAACCAAACACAATATACATAAAAAGTATAAAATGATCACTAGCAGTATGGAACTGTCATAAAAAAGTCACACTTGTGTGTTCAAATTGTTTTTGTAATGCATAGCAAAGATGTCAAAGCATCTTAAAAAAAATTCATACATAAATCAAGACCGTTTCTCTTTGAAACGATTAATGTTATAAGTTATAAGAAAGGATTGTAAAGTTGAGAAATTAACAGAACGAAAAATAAACGGAAAGAAGACAGTCTTGTAGTGTCCTATAAGAAAACTGATATTTTAGTCTACACAATCAGTTGGTGCTACAGTATTTTGCATACATGTTCCGTCGTTGTGGAATTGTTCTTTCTTTTTTTATCGAAATGATAACAAAACATGGATGAAATGAAACTTTGGGAAACTTGGATTTAACTCGTACCTGGCAGAGATGATTATGGGGCGCTTTATTATTTTAAAACTTTATTTGTAGGTTTTGTGGACCCGGATATTGACGCTGATACAGACGTGGCGAGGTTAAGTGGGGACAGTACAACCTACGTCAATAGCTTGACCAGCATATACTACAACGTGGGAGCGCAGCTACCCGGTGTGTCGCTCAACAACTACGCCGAATACGTACAGGAAATGCAGGAGGATCATTCTCGCTACGCGGACGAGTTCGATGTGAGTTGCTGTTATTGTTTATTTATCAGCCTGTACTTCCAACAGTCACACGAAGGTTTGATGCTGGTTATTTTTTGTCAAGCTATCGAGTCCATGTACGGGACTATTAGGGTTTAGGTCTGATTGTTACCTCTTTATCTCTAGGAATTACGGAACCGTCCGGCATACACTCACGTGGAAGGTCAGAAGAAACATAACAAACTGAAGAACAGGTTCCTTACCACATTTCCATGTAAGTATAAATCATATAACATGTGATTAAAAATCTTTAAAGAATCAGTTACTTGAACATAATGTTTGCATCATAGCGAAAAATAAAATCAACACACTTTTCAATGCAGTGTTTTGTATTTTTGTAGACTCTATGAACACATGTTTACAATTTTAAGCTACAAAGATGTCTTTTAAAACCTTTGAGATATTCATGACCCGATCTTTTGTTCGTTCTTTGTTGATAGATGACCACTCCCGTGTGATTCTGAACAGGTTACCATGTGAACCAGATTCGGATTATATCAACGCCAACTATATAGATGTAAGTCCTAACGAACACTTACTTGATTATTAATTAAATAGTTAGTACCATATACTGTGTGAACTGTTGTTACGTAATTTGTATATCTAATTATGCTCCTTGTTAAACGTTATAGAAAAAAACCTGCTGAATCATATGAGAACGATACGGATTTCGTATTCGTTAAAACTTCGTGTTAGATCACTTACTTCTGAAATCTGAAAGAATTCACGAAACACCATTCAGCTTGTCTAATAAAAAGAGTCCAGAATTCTTGTAAAGAAGATAATTTTCAGTAATGTAATCATACAATGATTGGAATTTTTCTTCAAAACTCTAAATATTCAATTTAAAAGAATTTTTCTTTGTGAATTCAAATATCGTAAATTGCATACATTTTAACTGTTGTTGTAATTTAATTTTCCAGAGCGTTGATTCCACGAAGGCATATATAGCTACACAGGGTAAGTGAAAAAATCACATGGAAAGGGTGAATTGTTCAGATAAATAATAAATGGATTCTCTGCGGTCAAATTTATCGTGATAAATGTTTTCTAAATGGGCCGCCTAGATTTAAGAATATTTGAATAAACATTTTTATATAATGTATGATAATGATATATATTTCACTGTGAAATCAAAATTAAATAACGTTAGAATATTAAATAAATGAAGAAAACAAAGCATTATTGCCGTTATACAGATAAAAGGATTCAAAAATGTGTAAACAAAAAGCAAATCGTTTGGTGTTCTTGAAGAATGTTTTTCTACAAAATATGTCAAGAAGACAAATATGTTCCATCTACATGTGTTTTCTACACAATCGCCTTTAAAGTCTGCTGACCACTCTTGTTTGTGTCCAGGTCCAAATCGCCACACGATAGGTGACATATGGAGGATGGTGTGGCAGGAGAAAATCGAGAGTATTGTTATGTTGGCGAACCTCGTTGAGGACGGCAAGGTAGGTCAATGTCAAGGTGCCAGTAAAGATAAGGTAGAAAAAATGCAACAGCTATCTATTGCAGTTACAGAAACTTGTTGATTAGACAACGTAGAGTCAAATGAATTCGTCGATTATTATGATAATAAGTTACACCCAGGTAAACGAAATATAGAACTGCTAAATAAAGGAAAAATTGCTTCTATTACAGACATGCAAGCAAAGACAATAACAACATCAACACCATATCAGGTTTCAACAGTAAACCATTAGCACATCATATACTGTAGGTTACGTGTATTTCGAGCATACTTAATTTCGCGACCCTAATTTTCGATACTAATTCGCGAGGACAATAATTTGCGCTGCACGCAAAGTGAATGCCATATGTATAACTTGTTATTGTCTGCGTAGTACTTAATTCAGTTATAAATGCATTGCGTACTGTGACATAAAATGAATCAAAGCAAAGACTAGCTTTTCACAGTAATCACTGAATCTCGTGCGTTTCCGAATGATCATGTTACTCTCAGAATATGATTTTACTAATCCATTTAAAAATTACATTTGTTGTAAACATTTTGTATTAATTGAAAGAAGGGAAGCAAGAAGAAGGAACATAAATGGAAAGGATGTATGTCTTCAAAATAAAAAAGGGATAGAAAAGGTTGGGACAGAAAGTGAAAAAAGGAGGAAAAATGAAGAAATGACTTTTCATGGCCTATTTGTATTTCATTGCCTTTTATTTTTACCAGGTAAAGTGTGAGTGTTACTGGCCTACAGTTCTGCCTGTAACCTATAATCACTTCACTGTATCCCGTATTAGTAAGACAGAGATGGCCATGTACACCATCAGGACTTTAATCCTTACAAATACTGAGGTATGGCTATAACATTATGTATTCTGCTCGGCTATCTCATGTTCAAGTTGTTTTTGAATTGTCAAGCATATCTTTTATATCGCTCAAACACAAAATACAACTATTTCATTTGTTTCCCACATTTCTTGTTTTGATGAGTAAATATTGCTGTCTTGTGGAACAAATGACAAAACTAATGATAAAAAGACGTTCATAATAACTACAATGTTGCTTTAAATAGACTGTCAAAACGAGAATTACCTGCATATCAACTGTCCAATCAGTCAACTTTAACCGCTAGACATGAACGGAGTTGCAGACCACTAAAATTCAGTATATTTATTTGAAAAGAACATCACATCTAATAACATCCATCAAATGGAACAAAATCAGCAGAGGAGATAATGTTCTTTATTCATTCAATCGAAAGTAGAACAATTTATATTTATTAAAATGTATATTAGATTGCGACATTGCATTTACATGACGTTTTCGTTGAAGTTGTCAGAGACACGACAAGTGACCCAGTACCACTTCACGGGATGGCCAGACCACGGAGTACCGGACACCCTGGAACTGGTGGCCTTCCTCGCGCGTGTACTCCGGGACAATCCACGCAAGACAGATGCCGTACCTCTTCTCGTACACTGCAGGTAACTGTCACAATTCAGAGCTTCTTCCTCTGCTCTAAATGTATCTATAAATGTGAATTACTGCCTCAGATTGTAACAATAGGGATATGTATAGCCAATGTTTACCTGAAGGAGCAATATTATTGTGACCACAGCTAAAGAATATGCAGCTAATGGGGAAAATAATTTGAAATAAAGCCAACTGAGAGGAAATATAAAAACAGTATTGTAAAACTATGAAATCTGTTCAAGCACTTAAAATAGCAAATACATTTTGCCTATTTCACATAATGTTGAACCGTCAGGTAGAACCACAACGAATATTAATCTAAATATATCTCGTATTTTTTCATTTTTTCATTCTGTCCTTTTTAACTTCCAATTGACTTTTTCGAATCAACATTTTGGCGTTGTATAAGATATGTTAATTTGGCGTCAGAATCTTATCATGTAACTAATCTTACTGGCTGTTTGGTTAACAGTGCCGGAGTTGGACGGACGGGCACGTTTATCGGCCTGCACGCGCTCTATACCTTTGGTTGTGACAAGAAGCGTGTGGACGTGGCAGAGTTCGTCAGGAAAATGAGGGATAACAGAATGCTTATGGTCCAGAACGTAGTACGTACAATATTTTGTTCTATGGATTCAAACTACGATTGTTGTTTGTAATTCGTTACCTCTGTGTTCATGTCTTGTCAATGTCTGATGCGTATTTGTTCGTGGTGTTTTTATATCCCCAAAGAATTTTACACATACTAACTATTCTTAAAATCATATACGAGTATAGTAAGTGAAGAGAAGTGCTACTTAATTACTTGGTAAGTGGCACTTTTCTAATCAAAAGACGTTTTCAATCCCATTTAATCTGGTTATAGGACTACAATCTTGTCATTTTCATTGTGTTCGACACTTTTTTACGTTTTCCTTTTTTTCTATAATGAATAAAATAGGTATGGGGAAACGAATATTGAAATATTGATTATTTACGCCAAAATCTGATTTTACAGGAACAGTATCGGTTATTACACATAGCTCTGCTCGAGGCGTTTAACTACACCGAGTCCTCAATAAAGAAATCCGACTTTACCAAACGTTACAACGATTGTATAAATGAACAGACAAGCTTCATCACTAAAGAATTCCAGGTAAGTATTAATAGTTTGAAACGTTAATATAGGGTGATTTGCTCTTCGAAAATATCAATTATGTGAAATTATTTGACACTTTCTTGACCGATACTACATACCAGGACATTTTCGCCGTAGTTAAACTTTCTCCCTTCGCAATGATGGGGGATGTATCACGAGATCAAATATTAATACACAGTATACCTTATAAAGTAATGACAAATGAAGGGCTGATTTGACATTTGGAGAATATGGATTATACCTGTTAGAAGGCAAATATGGATTATACCTGTTAAAAGGCGAATATGGATTATACCTGTTAAAAGGCGAATACGGATTTTACCGGCGAAAGTTCCCCAGTGTACACTCCTTTCGTTCTAATCACATAAGATATTAGACGCCATTATTGCATACTAGTGTTTGCATTAGAATGTACATTGTAGGTTTAAATTCTACGCAGGTAATTTAGGATTTGCTTTAGATAATTTGTGTCCTTTGGATTAAAATATATTGTAAAGACAGTAGCAGTATGCAAAATATAGTACTTGAATTAATCAGAGTGTAACATTGAAGCGATAACTTTCCATTAATTACTTCCATCAACAGCTCCTTCAGTCGAACAAACCTGCGTATAGTGACCAACACTTCACGGCAGCAAAGGCGCCAGAAAACCACGGGAAAAATAGGTCTGAGGAAATCCTGGCAGGTAATAACGCACGTATTTAAAAAAAATATGTAATTAATTTAATTAAAAATATGAATGAATGTAAGCACTGTCTTTTTCGCTTATCATTGACTTGCACATGTTAAATCCATTGCATGTGACTTGCTTATCTTCAATTCTACACAATTCCATTTAATTGGTGGAGTTATTCCCCCTCCCCTACTAGATCGTTATAAAACTGCTATGATATCCAATCTTCTACCAACACAATATTTCTATGGCTTCGTTTTTGATTTGCTCAAGTTTTAAATCTGATGCAAAGTCCAACATCTTTTGGAATATAGTCGGTCTTAATTTGTCTATATGAAGGATATGAAGCTCTGACTAGAGCTCAGTCGATTTCATCTGTTTAGCTGAACAATCGAAAGACTCATCAATCAGATTCATCATTTTGTAAAAATGTAATATCAAAGTTTTACTTTATACCACAAGAAAAATTAAAATAAAATCTATCTCTTAAACACATGAAAAAACATACTCGTTTATATTTTAAATACTTTGGTAAATAAAATTAATAGGTACAATGTACTAATCAGAAATAATTGTATTTTTGAAATATAGACCTATTAACGTTTCTATGTAAGTGTAAACTTGATATAGAATACTTGAGTGACGTTATGTACATATTCTTAGTCGTGTTTTCACCAGGTAATACATCGATCGATACATATCAACTTAAGTGCCATGAATAATAGAAAGGTGTGTGCTTTACAACACTTCAAGGACAACAGTTCATTAGTCCCAGAAATCTGGTGTTGTGGTGGATTGTTGTGAGGTGTAAAAAAACCTCCACATAACAAAGACAGGTGCATTTCCTATTTGTATTAAGTATCGTGTCACTTTATTATAGCTCTACTTAACGTATCAGCAGCAAGGTTGTGATTGTCGTAACAATTAACAGATACAAACATTCTATACATCAGTGACGGTGATATACATGTGTTTCTCAGGACATTACATCTCCTAAGGTTGTTTTAGAAGTATTTTCATTACATTGAAAATGTTGGAACTGCTAATTATATCATCATGAACTGAATTAATATTTTTCTTTTTAAATGTTCCTGAATATGTGGTTGGTTGAGTTGTATAAAAAATAAAACGGTAATCGGGTAACAAAAGAATTAAAAAGCCTTTCAAAACTGTTTCAATGCTTTGAACAGTTTGCACTCTTTCAAAGCTGCAGGTTATTGATATACCATTGGTTGTAAGGATCCTTATCAGCAATGTATGGGACCTTTTTAAAACGACATTGTATCTGTCCTTTCTTTAACAACGACATAGCTAGGTTCCTCAACAATACGATGTAAGAGTATTTGCTTACGTGAATCAACACACAATGTAATCACGAAAGTACACATTTCTGCAACGATAGAGTTCTCGCAAAGATTTCAATATGCTTTGATTTGGTTAGTCTCCATTGATCTAATTATATTTACATTCTGCGTTGCATTTGCCTATAATTCTTTAGTAAACCAAAATCCATTATATGAGACTGTACACTGCAATTTTCAGTGATTCGGTCAGCGTAGGAACATACAAGGCCACCACCTCTGGTATCAAAAGGCCTATAGTCAGAACACTTTCTGGGTTCGTTAGCATTTAGCAGTGTAAGTCATCGCAAAACATAAAGCAAATTGACAAATTATGACAATATATATTTATTATAAGATGTATAGGTACCACAAAATTATTGTAAGCCCCATTCTAGATACGAAATTACCAAGTTTGTCAACGTCATCACACAGGGGCTCGGTTTCGATATATTGAGTTATGCATAACATCAGTGAATAGCCACAACACTACAATTCAGCATTTATAAAACTTTGTAAAAGTCGAGGGTATCGACAAGGTTTTAGAATGTGTATCTTCAGTGATGTCATCCATTGCTCAAAGTCACGAAACCGAGCCTAGTGTGAACGTCGTCTGCTAGCAATGCTAATCTGACCGATTAGACATGGAACCAGTTTCAAACGAAATGTCCTTGGAATCGTTATCACCTACTGAAAGGACCACTTTAATTTTAAATTTCCGAGTATATTTGCTTCTGAAAATAGCGTAATATTCCAATCGATGGAAACATTTAAGCGCCGAGGAAACAATCAAGTCCGTTCAGCGCCGCATCACTTCCAAATACATGTAATCTATCAATGCGCGAAAAACAGCTGTAATTTTAAACAAGCAGTAGTTATGCAATTATTAACAATTTGTCAACATGTATGCACTCATATGAAATACATAATAAAGTTATGTTTGTGTTCAAACCATTTTATGTGCGTATGGTTTACAATAACACGAGGAACTATATTATTTCTTCTGGAAATACTGACGTCACTGATATGATAAGCGGGAAATTCAAACGTTTTTTTGCTTCAGTTACTATACAAAACAAACTATATAAATGTAAATATAAGTATTGAACTGTTACCAGATGCAGTATACAGTGGATATGAATGCAGTTTGGGTGACAGATAAATGGGCGACATGAATATATATCGACTGTATACTGCATCTGGTAACAGTTCAATGCTTAAATAAACAAGTACGCTATTTTTTTCCCTATCTCCTTCTCATATTGATCGATGCAAATCACTATTAGCGAAACGATCAAAGAAAATGGTGCGGTTTTTTATGTATTTTTCTCTATGTTTTGATCTTTAGACCAGAAAGTTATATTTTTTATTGACCATACGAATCGAAAACACAAAGTCGTGTGCTAGTATACAGCTGAAATAAAAACTGAATACAATTATTTGTATAAACATATATATATTAGCGGGAATAGACAATGGTTTATATCCATGAATTCGGTTAGTTGATATCCGTCAGATTTCATAGATAAACTGCTCTTTCATAAAATCATTTGTTCTGTATGTCCTCTTTTATATTTGTAATACGATAATACAATGCTTTTATGAATTTCAACATCGATATTATGTGATGTTATTTAATATTTATAATACGATAATACAATGCTTTTATGAATTTTCAACATCGATGTTATGTGATATTTCCAGTTGACAAATTCCGGCCCTACCTGAATACGTACGTGGAAGGCACGACAGATTACGTGAACGCGACAATCGTCCCGGTATGTATTCGGTCTAATCAGCCGTTTCTTTAACTATTCAAAAAATATCTTTACACATTAATAACATGTTTGAAAAATCGACAGACAAGTTCTGATACGACATTTTGTGTTATTTCTGTCCGTTTGATCGATGTATTAATTAACATATCAGTTATAAAAACAAAACCCATAAATCCGGCAGCTGCAGTAATGACCTTTATTTATTCTTGTAAATACATACTACGTTCGTTTAACAATTGGTGTCGGCTTCCATTATTCATGTGTTGGTACCATTCCAGTCATGCAAGGCCCAGGGGAGATACATCGTGACGCAGGCCCCATTACCGGCCACTGTTGTTGACTTCTGGCGCCTCATCTACGACCACGACTGTTACACGATCGTCGTACTCAACTCGCCAGACCAGGAACTAGAGGTATATACACCCCCAACACGACACATATCCCATATAACGACACCCATTGAATACAATGATAGTTTTGGTCTTTGTGAAATCTGACCTGAAATCGACATGATGCTTTGTAGACCGGAACTACATTGATTTACTGGTTTGATCGTTATAGATACTTTTCAAAATATCAATTCTAACTATCAGAGAAATGTCAGGTTAAATTGATAAAATGTTTTGCAGACCGAAACTGTTTATCGTGCATCACGAGGTAATGATTTTGCGCTACAGTGTTGGGTTTACGTATGCATGCAAAACATATGATCTTCATAATAATTGTTGCGGATCTGGTCGTGAAATGTATTTGTCAATGCCAGTAGGCCACAGTTTCTACAGTTTATGTCAACTCCATCCTTCTCATGCTGCAGAGGCTGTAAAACAGTCACTATTGTGACACATTGAAATAATTTGTTTTTGGAAACTGATATTGCTATCTAATGTCGAGATGGAAATTAGATAAATTATAAGATCGAACGATCAAAGCGAATGCGTTAAAACTGGAAACTTAATATGACAATAGCACCTATAGGCAGTATTTAACATCAAATATTCAACGCTAATTATACATATAATATGAATGTTAATCGACGGTTTGTAGTTTCATAATGTAATTTTATTTCATGTATTATAGATGGGAAGCAGTTTCTTATGGACAGAATATTGGAAGTTTATGTTTAAGGAAATTTCGGAATATCTCTAACGCTGAAACTCTTAGAGGGTCTCTAATCAATAAACTAACTTAATTACAGAATTAAGAGATAGCTATATCTGTTTTACAATATACTATGTCAATATTACCTATAAACTATCTTAATTACAGAATAAAGAAATAGCTATATCTGTTTTGCAATATACTAAGTCAATATTACGTATAAACTAGCTTAATTACTGAATAAAGAAATAGCTATATCTGTTTTGCAATATACTATATCACCTAATAGGGATGTGTTGGTGTTCCTCAGGCGAGCGGCGTATGGTGGCCATCAATGGGGGATTCCGTCAGCTACGGTTCACTTACCATCACCACCACCTCGGTCAAGGAGGTTGGGAAAGAAATCACAGAGAAAACATATGACATCAAGAAAAAGGTACGTCCTTAAAATGGATTAGGCTTTGTCCTCGTAACGAAAAAGGTACGTCCTTAAAATGGATTAGGCTTTGTCCTCGTAACGAAAAAGGTACGTCCTTAAAATGGATTAGGCTTTGTCCTCAAAACGAAAAGTGTGCGTCCTTAAAATGGATAATGCTTTGTCCTCATAACGAAAAAGATGCTTCCTTAAAATGGATTAGGCTTTGTCCTCAAAACGAAAAGTGTGCGTCCTTTAAATGGATAATGCTTTGTCCTCATAACAAAATAGGTACGTCCTTAAAATGGAGTATGCTTTGTCCTCATAACGAAAAAGGTGCGTCCTTAAAATGGAGTATGATTGGTCCTCATAACAAAATAGGTACGTCCTTAAAATGGATTATGCTTTGTGCTCATAACGAAAGAGCGTCCTTAAAATGGAGTATGCTTTGTCCTCAAAACGAAAAAGGTGCGTCCTTAAAATGGAGTATGCTTTGTCCTCATAACGAAAAAGGTGCGTCCTTAAAATGGAGTATGATTGGTCCTCATAACAAAATAGGTACGTCCTTAAAATGGATTATGCTTTGTGCTCATAACGAAGGACGAAATATGTACTTACCGCTTGCACATTGCTATTTATGTTGTTATGTGATATAAGCTTTATACATATTCTTAGCTAGTATTAGAAGTGATGTTTATACATATAGGATCCTCCATGAGTTTCCATTTCATATAAGGTTTATGAAACGAGTCTTATTTTTTCAATTGAGCGAACCTCTGGCGAGCTTAAATGAAAAATTCGTGATGAGTTTCATGAATTTTATATGAAATGAATACGACCATAAGATTCTTTTTATCACATTATCAAAATGTGTGGCATTTTTTGTGTAAAACGACAATTTTCGTGCAACCTTGGAATGCCGCCATTTTGACTCCAGTGCGTAAGTCTGTGACGTCATGTACTTGTCCTAGGCGTGACGTCACAATTGAGACAATTGAAACTAACAACCAATCATACGGCTGATATGTCATGTTACATGGGTTTATTCACTGGAAAACACAGTACATTATGTGATACATTTATATATATTGCATTACGACATTTTGCTTACATATTTTGAAATACTGAGTTATGGATTCGTCAATACGCTTTTAGTATAATTATGCTTATTTACAGTATTTTTCATCAATTTGTATGAATTCCCGAGATTTCACGTTACAGACAAAGGAGATTTTCCTGTAATAAACACTTGTCAGGAAAATATATTGACGTCAAGTTTAAAAAAAAACCTCACCGCTTTAAAATAATTTAATCAAGAACATACAACGTACTTAAAACTTGTGAGCATGCTTCAAAAAAATATAATGAACTATGAACTTCTGAATGTGCGTATTAATAAGGTAACGTTGATATGTATTTCAAAGTATGGCTCTAAACAATATCATATTACATAACCATCCGAATTTGTGATTTCGACAAATTATATAATGTGTTTATATATTTTATTTTCAGTATGCTTATTCTAAGTACTAAGGAACGCACTGAAAATATAATAAAAAGTAATATGGAAATATATGTACTTGGAATAAGCACACTGAAATAACATATATACATATATTATATCATTTATCGAAATCACACACTCAGAATGTTATAATATATAACAATGTTTAGAAGCTTACTTTATGTACTTTATACATCTGAGTGTGCTTTTAAATATTGTAATTGGATGTAAATATTTCAGTGTACATTTTCTTATTACATAATGTACATATATACCCCTGAGTGTGCTACTTATAGAGAATAATTCTTATGTATGTTTATATTTCTAAAAATATTGTTTTGTGTTTGAAGGGTTTCGGAGAAGCGCGTGCTGTTAAATCTCTCCACATGGGAGATTGGACTTCCGGTCAATATAAACCGGCTTCAATAGAAACGCTGTTGGAACTCGTGGACTTGATGGAGGCCTGGAAACGGAAGTGTCTTTGTCACACTGTAGCGGTGCAATGCACGTGAGTATTTGTGTAAGCCGTGTAACACTGTAGACGTGTAACACTGTAGGCGTGTACTACGATGACACTACAATGTAACACTGTGGCGTGCAACGCTACATTGAAGCTCAGCAATGTTACATTGTGGCGTGCAACGTTACACTGAAGCTCAGCAATGTTACATTGTGGCGTGCAACGTTACACTGAAGCTCAGCAATGTTACACTGAAGCTCAGCAATGTTATACTGTGACGTCAAACCTTACACTGAAGCTCAGCAATGTTATACTGACGCTCAGCAATGTTATACTGTAGCTCAGCAATATTACATATCCGAAAAAGGATTAAGGGAATACGAAAACTGAGACTCCAGTGGGACAGGAGACCTTAGATAATAATAAAAAAAATCGTCTGTGTTTATACCTGATGACAAAGTTGAGTCAACGACTTGTCTTACATTTGGTCAAGTAGTTATGACATATACAATGATTTACAAAATGTAAATAAAACAGAGAATCATAAGAATAAAACATGATGAAATGCAATTGTATAAAACATCCATTACAGTACTTAAGATAAGTTTAAAAGACAATGGTGAGGGTGCATTTCTAACATGTTCAGGTAAAATACTCCATGCATATGGTCCCTGGTAGTTAAACGATTTCTTAAACATTTTTTTACCTACCAGGGTACCAGATATGTACGGTATCGGCCGTGTGACTTCTAGTTCGCTGTAGATACCTCTAGTATGTTACAATGTTACCATACGTAACTTCTAGCAAGCTGATATGTTACTTGTAGTGACTTTATATGTACGGTATCGGCCGTGTGACTTCTAGTTCGCTGTAGATACCTCTAGTATGTTACAATGTTACCATACGTAACTTCTAGCAAGCTGATATGTTGTTTGTAGTGACTTTATATGTACGGTATCGGCCGTGTGACTTCTAGTTCGCTGTAGATACCTCTAGTATGTTACAATGTTACCATACGTAACTTCTAGCAAGCTGATATGTTGTTTGTAGTGACTTTATATGTACGGTATCGGCCGTGTGACTTCTAGTTCGCTGTAGATACCTCTAGTATGTTACAATGTTACCATACGTAACTTCTAGCAAGCTGATATGTTGTTTGTAGTGACTTTATATGTACGGTATCGGCCGTGTGACTTCTAGTTCGCTGTAGATACCTCTAGTATGTTACAATGTTACCATACGTAACTTCTAGCAAGCTGATATGTTGTTTGTAGTGACTTTATATGTACGGTATCGGCCGTGTGACTTCTAGTTCGCTGTAGATACCTCTAGTATGTTACAATGTTACCATACGTAACTTCTAGCAAGCTGATATGTTGTTTGTAGTGACTTTATATGTACGGTATCGGTCGTGTGACTTCTAGTTCGCTGTAGATACTTCTAGTATGTTACAATGTTACCATACGTAACTTCTAGCAAGCTGGTATGTTGCTTGTAGTGACTTTACATATGTACGGTAGTGTTACCTTTTGTGACTATTTTTATTTTGAATTATATTTGCGGTTTTTTTGTGTTATATGTCGTCCTTATATCGCTTCTAACTAATTTTACACCTGCGTCGCCTAGTAACCGGCGATAAACGTGCTTCGGCAGCATTAGTATTATTCGTTTCCCATTTCACTTTACAGCTTTGTTCATGCAACCTGGTCATTATTAAATCGGGAAACTTTAAATTAGACTCAGCAAAAAATGCATGAAAAAACATTTTGACACATACAAGATGCTGTGGGACGTGGCTACATTCCAGGACGGCCACTGTAAACCATTAGCAGTAATACAGATATCACACTTAACAAAAAGGATTATTACAAATGTTATAACCTTACAGATTACTGCCACCGAGGTGGTATCCACTTCCCGTCATTCTGTGGATGCAGCTTAAAAAAGTCAATAAATGAGGATGTGTTAGACAAACGGCATCAGACGTTGGTTACGTGCGATTGTTTGATAGTGTCGAGTCACCTCTGATACCATTACAATCTAATTAAAATTATATCTTCACATCGCTCCCGTTTTCTGATATGTCGCGTTGAAGATCTAACAACATCCCGCGGTAGAGGGTCATGTTCAGGCGACCTTTGCATTAACCAATCAGATGAGAGCTTACGCATTTCTGTAAGTGATGATGTAATGATTTCGGACCACACTTGCTATACTAAAAGACCGAGAGGTGTCAAATGAGCATCGAAAATGGCGGCGCCCATGACACCACGCCGTGTCTATCTACAAGACAACGTTTGTATAATTTGTGGATTTTGCTTTGAAATAAGTGGAGACTTCCTCTTCTGGTGATGTTGTCGTTAAAAAATTTAACAACCTGAAACTAAAATTAACCAATGACAGGCTTCGCAATATTCAAACTATCACTGGACCAGACGAAAATATGGATTTTGGGCTACGAGGTGTCTGCATTAAATGCTGCAGGTCCTGCTTTCTGATTGGTTGAAAGAAAGAGTTATGTCGCGTTTTGATTGGCTTGTTATAAATACGATAATGCATTCATGTTGACCTCTGACGTGACCCTCTACGGGATGTTGTTAGATCTTCAACGCGACATATCAGTAAACGGGAGCGATGTGAAGATATAATTTTAATTAGATTGATTTCATTAACGAGGAAAATGCCATGAATATTCAGTCGTTTAAAACAACGCCAGGTAGTTAACGGGTACAGTACGTTTATCATACATTACCGTAGGTAGAAAAACGTGTACCTGTTGATTGGAAGTATACGCAAACAGACCTATCTGATGTGGTCGGATATAGTAGTTTTTTTTATCGTACATAGTGAGTGTTGGGCCTCGGGCAGTACATCATTAGTTTGGTCCCAGTACCAAGGGACAGATATTCTTGTCTGTTTAATTACACACACACCCAGTAAATAAATGTTTTATTTCCTAATCAATGGCTCTTCACTAAATCGGAACGGAAGACACACCCACTGTCTAAATCTTAATCACTTGTTTTTGTCGTTTTCAAATAATTTCTTCCATATATTATCCATAATGGATTATTTGAATTCTTAGATATCGATGATCGTCAGCATGAAGCCTGTACTGTCATTCCTACTGAAGTGATGAGTGTTATTCCCATTACGTATTAATGCTAACGTTTCGAATGCACGAGGTCAGTTTTATTTAGATTAAACGGTTGCCTATGTTTCGATACACAGACCAAACAGCTAATGATAGCATTATTCTTTGCGTTTAGTTTCTACTTTTACTGATAAGAATTTAATAATCTAATTGCAACGTTCATTTCCGGTCCATTTAATTAAATGAAAGCGTAGTAATCATTCTATGATAGTAAAACAAAATTCTGTTTACATTTGTACTCAGGTGTGAATGACATGTTATCTTCCTATACTTTCAATATGACCTGTTATCAAATTTTTCTTACTGAGATATATTAGCAGACAAAGTAATAAATTAGGTAATGAATTCTTGAACCCACATTTGTTTTAAAAATATCTTAAACAGACTTATTTGAATATTCCTACACTTGTACATTGCAACTAGCGAGTCTCTTTGTACTGTTTTAAGAGGGAGCAAGGTTTATTAGTTAGACTGAGGATGGCATCTCTATACAGTACATAATTGTAACGAACGAGTCTCTTTGTACTGTTTTAAGAGGGAGCAGGTTATTAGTTAGACTGGGGATGGCATCTCTATACAGTACACAATTGTAACTAACGAGTCTCTGTGTACTGTTTTAAGAGGGAGCAGGTTTATTAGTTAGACTGGGGATGGCAGCTCTATATAGTCCTTAAGTACACAATTGTAACTAACGAGTCTCTTTGTACTGTTTTATGAGGGAGCTAGGTTTATTAGTTAGACTGGGGATGGTATCTCTATACAGTACATAATTGTAACTCACGAGTCTCTTTGTACTGTTTTATGAGGGAGCAGGATTATTAGTTAGACTCGGGGTGGTATCTCTATACAGTACATAATTGTACCTAACGAGTCTCTTTGTACTGTTTTATGAGGGAGCAGGATTATTACTTAGACTGGGGATGGCAGCTCTATATAGTACATAATACACAAGTGTAACTAACGAGTCTCTTTGTACTGTTTTATGCGGGAGCAAGGTTTATTAGTTAGACTGAGGATGGTATCTCTATATAGTACTTAAGTACACAATTGTAACTAACGAGTCTCTCTGTACTGTTTTATGAGGGAGCAAGGTTTATTAGTGAGACTGGGGATGGCAGTTCTATATAGTACTTAAGTACACAATTGTAACTAACGAGTCTCTCTGTACTGTTTTATGAGGGAGCAAGGTTTATTAGTGAGACTGGGGATGGCAGTTCTATATAGTACTTAAGTACACAATTGTAACTAACGAGTCTCTTTGTACTGTTTTAAGAGGGAGCAGGTTTATTAGTTAGACTGGGGATGGCAGCTCTATATAGTACTTAAGTACACAATTGTAACTAACGAGTCTCTTTGTACTGTTTTAAGAGGGAGCAGGTTTATTAGTTAGACTGGGGATGGCAGCTCTATATAGTACTTAAGTACACAATTGTAACTAACGAGTCTCTTTGTACTGTTTTAAGAGGGAGCAGGTTATTAGTTAGACTGGGGATGGCATCTCTATACAGTACACAATTGTAACTAACGAGTCTCTTTGTACTGTTTTATGCGGGAGCAAGGTTTATTAGTTAGACTGAGGATGGCATCTCTATACAGTACACAATTGTAACTAACGAGTCTCTTTGTACTGTTTTATGAGGGAGCAGGATTATTAGATAGACTGGGGATGGCAGCTCTATATAGTACATAATACACAATTGTAACTAACGAGTCTCTTTGTACTGTTTTATGAGGGAGCAGGATTATTAGATAGACTGGGGATGGCAGCGCTATATAGTACATAATACACAATTGTAACTAACGAGTCTCTTTGTACTGTTTTAAGAGGGAGCAGGTTTATTAGTTAGACTGGGGATGGCAGCTCTATATAGAACATAATTGTAACTAACGAGTCTCTTTGTACTGTTTTATGAGGGAGCAAGGTTTATTAGTTAGACTGGGGATGGCAGCTCTATATAGAACATAATTGTAACTAACGAGTCTCTTTGTACTGTTTTATGAGTGAGCAAGGTTTATTAGTTAGACTGAGGATGGTATCTCTATACAGTACACAATTGTAACTAACGAGACTCTTTGTACTGTTTTATGAGAGAGCAAGGTTTATTAGTTAGACTGGGGATGGCAGCTCTATATAGTACATAATTGTAACTAACGAGTCTCTTTGTACTGTTTTATGAGAGAGCAAGGTTTATTAGTTAGACTGGGGATGGCAGCTCTATATAGTCCATAATTGTAACTAACGAGTCTCTTTGTACTGTTTTATGAGGGAGCAAGGTTTATTACTTAGACTGGGGATGGTACCTCTATACAGTACATAATTGTAACTAACGAGGCTCTTTGTACTGTTTTATGAGAGAGCAAGGTTTATTAGTTAGACTGGGGACGGTATCTCTATACAGTACATAATTGTAACTAACGAGGCTCTTTGTACTGTTTTATGAGGGAGCAGGTTTATTAGTTAGACTGGGGAAGGTAGCTCTATATAGTACATAAGTACACAATTGTAACTAACAAGTCTCTTTGTACTGTTTTTAGGTCACCTGAGCTTTAGCTCAAGTGACCTATTGCTATCCGTTTTCGTCCGTCGTCGTCCGTCGTCCGTCGTCCGTCGTCCGTTAACATTTTACATTTCAAACTTAAAGTCAAGTTCTGGTACTGTTTTAAGAGGGAGCGAGGTTTATTAGTTAGACTGAGGATGGCATCTCTATACAGTACATAATTGCAACTAACGAGTCTCTTTGTACTGTTTTATGAGGGAGCAGGTTTGTTAGTTAGACTGGGGATGGTATCTCTATACCGTACATAATTGTAACTAACGAGTCTCTTTGTAATGTTTTATGAGGGAGCAGGATTATTAGTTAGACTGGGGATGGCAGCCCTATATAGTACATAAGTACACAATTGTAACTAACAAGTGTCTTTGTACTGTTTTTAGGTCACCTGAGCTTTAGCTCAAGTGACTTATTGCTATCCGTTTTCGTCCGTCGTCGTCCGTCGTCCGTCGTCCGTCGTCCGTTAACATTTTACATTTCAAACTTAAAGTCAAGTTCTGGTACTGTTTTAAGAGGGAGCGAGGTTTATTAGTTAGACTGAGGATGGCATCTCTATACAGTAAATAATTGTAACTAACGAGTCTCTTTGTACTGTTTTATGAAGGAGCAGGTTTATTAGTTAGACTGGGGAAGGTAGCTCTATATAGTACATAAGAACACAATTGTAACTAACAAGTCTCTTTGTACCGTTTTTAGGTCACCTGAGCTTTAGCTCAAGTGACCTATTGCTATCCGTTTTCGTCCGTCGTCGTCCGTCGTCCGTCGTCCGTCGTCCGTTAACATTTTACATTTCAAACTTAAAGTCAAGTTCTGGTACTGTTTTAAGAGGGAGCGAGGTTTATTAGTTAGACTGAGGATGGCATCTCTATATAGTACTTAAGTACACAATTGTAACTAACGAGTCTCTTTGTACTGTTTTATGAAGGAGCAGGTTTATTAGTTAGACTGGGGGAGGTAGCTCTATATAGTACATAAGTACACAATTGTAACTAACGAGTCTCTTTGTACTGTTTTAAGAGGGAGCAGGTTTATTAGTTAGACTGGGGGAGGTAGCTCTATATAGTACATAAGTACACAATTGTAACTAACAAGTCTCTTTGTACCGTTTTTAGGTCACCTGAGCTTTAGCTCAAGTGACCTATTGCTATCCGTTTTCGTCCGTCGTCGTCCGTCGTCCGTCGTCCGTCGTCCGTTAACATTTTACATTTCAAACTTAAAGTCAAGTTCTGCTAGGCCGATTGAACTGAAACTTTGCAGGAATGATTGACTGATGGTCCTGACAAAGTGTTGTTATTTTTCGGGTCAATCAGAAATACAATTTGGCTGCCATGGCCGCTATTTTGCTACTAAGTTCTAATAGGCCGATCTCACTTAAAATTGGTCTAGGAATGATCAGCTCACGGTCCTGACAAAGTTAAGTTAACATTATACTATTTTTTACTCAAATTGGTACATATTTCAACAACAAAAATAAATATTGTAGGACTCAGGTGACCGTTAAGGCCCATGGGCCTCTTGTATGAGGGAGCAAGGTTTATTAGTTAGACTGGGGATGGTACCTCTATACAGTACATAATTGTAACTAACGAGTCTCTTTGTAATGTTTTATGAGGGAGCAGGATTATTAGTTAGATTGGGGATGGCAGCTCTATATAGTACATAAGTACACAATTGTAACTAACGAGTCTCTTTGTACTGTTTTAAGAGGGAGCAGGTTTATTAGTTAGACTGGGGGAGGTAGCTCTATATAGTACATAAGTACACAATTGTAACTAACGAGTCTCTTTGTACTGTTTTAAGAGGGAGCAGGTTTATTAGTTAGACTGGGGGAGGTAGCTCTATATAGTACATAAGTACACAATTGTAACTAACAAGTCTCTTTGTACTGTTTTTAGGTCCCCTGAGCTTTAGCTCAAGTGACCTATTGCTATCCGTTTTCGTCCGTCGTCGTCCGTCGTCCGTCGTCCGTCGTCCGTTAACATTTTACATTTCAAACTTAAAGTCAAGTTCTGCTAGGCCGATTGAACTGACACTTTGCAGGAATGATTGACTGATGGTCCTGACAAAGTGTTGTTATTTTTCGGGTCAATCAGAAATACAATTTGGCTGCCATGGCCGCTATTTTGCTACTAAGTTCTAATAGGCCGATCTCACTTAAAATTGGTCTAGGAATGATCAGCTCACGGTCCTGACAAAGTTAAGTTAACATTATACTATTTTTTACTCAAATTGGTACATATTTCAACAACAAAAATAAATATTGTAGGACTCAGGTGACCGTTAAGGCCCATGGGCCTCTTGTATGAGGGAGCAAGGTTTATTAGTTAGACTGAGGATGGTATCTCTATACAATACATAATTGTAATTAACGAGCCTCTTTGTACTGTTTTAAGAGGGAGCAGGTTTATTAGTTAGACTGGGGATGGTATCTCTATACCGTACATAATTGTAACTAACGAGTCTCTTTGTAATGTTTTATGAGGGAGCAGGATTATTAGTTAGATTGGGGATGGCAGCTCTATATAGTACATAAGTACACAATTGTAACTAACGAGTCTCTTTGTACTGTTTTAAGAGGGAGCAGGTTTATTAGTTAGACTGAGGATGGCATCTCTATATAGTACTTAAGTACACAATTGTAACTAACGAGTCTCTTTGTACTGGTTTAAGAGGGAGCAGGTTTATAAGTTAGACTGGGGATGGGATTTCTATACAGTACACAATTGTAACTAACGAGTCTCTTTGTGGCAGCTCTATATAGTACTTAAGTTCTCAATTGTAACTAACGAGTCTCTTTGTACTGGTTTAAGAGGGAGCAGGTTTATTAGGTAGACTGGGGATGGCATCTCTACACAGTACATAATTGTAACTAACGAGTCTCTTTGGACTGTTTTAAGAGGGAGCATGTTTATTAGTTAGACTGAGGCTGGTATCTCTATACAGTACACAATTGTTACTAACGAGTCTCTTTGTACTGGTTTAAGAGGGAGCAGGTTTATAAGTTAGACTGGGGATGGCATCTCTATACAGTACATAGCACATGGCTTTACTTATCCTTGTAGGATCGTTATTTTGTGCAGTACTGTTAAGCCTGCAATAGAAATCAATACAGGTCTCCTCAAACATAACACCTACATCGTTAACATGTACAAGTACCTCGTCAACCATGCTATTAATAACTCTTGTTCGATTTATTTTGATTTAATGTATATTCAAAAGGTGAACTTACTGTATCGCCTATTACTTACCGCTGTCGGTAGAGGTTGCAACGTAACGATTGGAAACAAGGACTTCTACACTACATCAAATCCACCTTTGATAATTGTGGCTATGTATCATATTCCTATTGGTTCATGCAGCAAATTAATCGGATCATTTAATCTTTAAATCTAAATGCATAAATCCGTTCTCCAATATAAAAAATGTTTTGATGATAATCTAATGAAATAACAGAAATTAAATTGGTTGATTATTTTTCATGTTTTCCATACCATTGCAAAAGGATGATTAGAACAAGAAAAAAATAACTCATTAATACTTTCATTAAAAGGAAATCAATAGGAAACCAAATTTTTCAAAAAAATCATTTTTTAGAATAATGGTGTTCGCTTTCCATGTTTTTTTTTTACACAATTATACGATATCTGTGTTACGTCCTTGGCTACCGTCTACAACATATGCTAAAGTTCATGTTTTGTCTACAAGACGACACACAGACAACAGACATAGCACTCCGTGAGGAAAGGCATTAAACATTCAGTACATTGATGAGGCGGCTGATGCTGTCCGTCTTGTCTCAAATTAACATTCTTTGTCCGGATTTCTGGAATCGCAACCCCAAATAACGAATAAATGAAATAATGATACAATACAAAACTGGGTCTTTAAAAAAACCCAAAAATACTGGCTCAAGACATGCATCATACACTACACATAGTATAACATCTTATGTCTTTTTTCTCTGTATTCATACATGGATATATTTGAGATGCAATTAATTTCTGAAAACAATTCTTGTCATAATAGCAGTTATCGTGGAAGAAAGGAATACTGCCAATTTTGACGGACATTTAATCTTTCTACACCTTATATAGAAATCACATGTCTTAATTTGTTATGATACCTCTTATATAAAAATAATACGATTCTTAACACAATACGTGAGTGTCGGACACGTCATATATAGATAGAATACAACGTATGTAAATAACGTACACCTTGAAGTGCTTATATAAATATCATACACCTTATCATTTTTATAAAATCGTAGAATAAAGCAAGAATTACTGTTCTGTTTCTATAGAGACGGCGCACTATGTAGCGGGGTGTTTTGTGCAGTGAGTCTTGCGCTGGACGGACTGCGGTTAGAACAGGAAGTTGATATTTACCACACTCTTAGAAGACTTCATGTACGGAGACCAGAGTTCATTAGGAATGAGGTGAGTTCAGTTTTGTTATTTCTGACTAACATTTCAAATATAACAATATTCAAATGATAAATATGTCAGATGCGAGGTAAATTTAATATGATTATGAACGGGGTAACAAACTTTAAAATCTCATCCACCGGATGTCATAATTTCACTGGAATATCGTTATGTAATAAACCCTGGCGAAATCGTTGTGTAAAAATCGTATGTTAGCTGTCTTCTTTGTATATTGTAGTCATTTCGGTATTGAAAAATGAGCAAGTCATACTGATTTTTTTTCCCTTTTTTCTATTCCCCCCCCCCTTTTTCTTCTCCTTTTAAATGATTTAGATTTAGTTTAGTCCGTACCACATGTAATAGTAACTCGTACCAATAATAGTTCTATATTTCCTGCTCGGCGAATTTCGGTCATACTAGAGGTGTTCCTTTGTCGTTTGTTAATTTTTCGTTTGTGTACAACAAAATCGTGACCTCAGGATGTGAAATTCCACGAAATCGTGACCTTGGGATGTAATTTCCACGTGACTGTAGCATAGGTATAGATATGATCGTCTACGATTGCTTCCCTAGAGAACATAGTTTTTCTCAACTCACATCAACATATCCGGAAAATACATCTAAATAATTAATAGATCTTAACTGTTAACGTAATAGTTTCATCCGAATAAATCAATAGGAAACTGAGGATACGTTTTCTGTAATGTATGTAAGCTACTCCTCTTTGTTATGTATACATATGTAGTGCTTTAATCCGAGGCGTGTCCATACCAGCACTACTTAACACTATTTTTTACTATGTGTCCATACCAGCACTACTTAACACTATTTTTACTATGGGTCCATACCAGCACTACTTAACACTATTTTTTACTATATGTCCATGGCAGCACTACTTAACACTATTTTTTACTATGTGACCATGCCAGCACTACTTAACACTATTTTTTACTATGTGTCGATGCCGGCACTACTTAACACTATTTTTTACTATGTGTCCATGCCAGCACTACTTAAAACTATTTTTTACTATGTGTCCATGGCAGCACTACTTAACCCTATTTTTACTATGTGTCCATGCCAGCACTACTTAACTCTATTTTTACTATGTGCCCATGCCAGCACTACTTAACACTATTTTTACTATGTGTCAATGCCAGCACTACTTAACACTATTTTTACTACGTGTCCATGCTACTCCTCTTTGTTATGTATACATATGTAGTGCTTTAATCCGAGGCGTGTCCATACCAGCACTACTTAACACTATATTTTCCTATGTGTCCATGCCAGCACTACTTAAAACTATTTTTTACTATGTGTCCATACCAGCACTACTTAACACTATTTTTTACTATGTGTCCATGGCAGCACTACTTAACACTATTTTTACTATGTGTCAATGCCAGCACTACTTAACACTATTTTTACTACGTGTCCATACCAGTCCATGCCAGCACTACTTAACACTATTTTTTACTATGTGTCGATGCCGGCACTACTTAACACTATTTTTTACTATGTGTCGATGCCGGCACTACTTAACACTATTTTTTACTATGTGTCGATGCCGGCACTACTTAACACTATTTTTTACTATGTGTCCATACCAGCTCTGCTTAACACTATATTTTACTATGTGTCCATGCTAACACTCCTTAACACTATTTTTACTATGTGTCCATGCCAGCCCTACTCAACACTATTTTTTACTATGTGTCCATACCAGCACTACTTAACACTATGTTTTACTATGTGTCCATACCAGCACTACTTAACACTATGTTTTACTATGTGTCCATACCAGCACTACTTAACACTATTTTTACTATGGGTCCATACCAGCACTACTTAACACTATTTTTAATATGTGTCCATGCCAGCACTACTTAACACTATATTTTACTATGTTTCCATGCCATCACTACTTAACACTATTTTTACTATGTGTCCACACCAGCACTACTTAACACTATTTTTACTATGTGTCAATGCCAGCACTACTTAACACTATTTTTACTATGTGTCAATGCCAGCACTACTTAACACTATTTTTACTATGTGTCAATGCCAGCACTACTTAACACTATTTTTACTATGTGTCCCTGCCAGCACTACTTAACACTATTTTTTACTATGTGTCGATGCCGGCACTACTTAACACTATTTTTTACTATGTGTCCATACCAGCACTACTTAACACTATGTTTTACTATGTGTCCATACCAGCACTACTTAACACTATATTTACTACGTGTCCATACCAGCACTTCTTAACACTATTTTTACTACGTGTCCATACCAGCCCTACTTAACACTATATTTTACTATGTGTCCATTCCAGCACTACTTAACACTATATTTTACTATGTGTCCATTCCAGCACTACTTAACACTATATTTTACTATGTTTCCATGCCATCACTACTTAACACTATTTTTACTATGTGTCCCTGCCAGCACTACTTAACACTATTTTTTACTATGTGACCATGCCAGCACTACTTAACACTATTTTTTACTATGTGTCCATACCAGCACTACTTAACACTATATTTTACTATGTGTCCATGCCAGCACTACTTAAAACTATATTTTACTAGGTGTCCATGCCAGCACTACTTAACACTATATTTTACTATGTGTCCATACCAGCTCTACTTAACACTATATTTTACTATGTGTCCATACCAGCTCTACTTAACACTATATTTTACTATGTGTCCATACCAGCTCTACTTAACACTATATTTTACTATGTGTCCATGCCAACACTCCTTAACACTATTTTTACTATGTGTCCATGCCTGCCCTACTTAACACTATTTTTACTATGTGTCCGTACCAGCACTACTTAACACTCTAATTTACTATGTGTCCATGCCAGCATTTCTTAACACTATTTTTACTACGTGTCCATACCAGCACTACTTAACACTATTTTTACTATGTGTCCATGCCTGCACTACTTAACACTATTTTTACTATGTGTCCGTACCAGCACTACTTAACACTATAATTTACTATGTGTCCATGCCAGCATTTCTTAACACTATTTTTACTACGTGTCCATACCAGCACTACTTAACCCTATATTTTACTATGTGTCCATCCCAGCACTACTTAACACTATTTTTACTACGTGTCTATACCAGCACTTCTTAACACTATTTTTACTACGTGTCGATACCAGTTCTCTTTAACGCTATTTTTACTACGTGTCCATGCCAGCACTACTTAACACTATTTTTACTACGTGTCCATTCCAGCACTACTTAACACTATATTTGACTATGCGTCCATGCCCACACTCCTTAACACTATTTTTACTATGTGTCCATGCCTGCACTACTTAACACTATTTTTACTATGTGTCCATACCAGCACTACTTAACACTATTTTTACTACGTGTCGATACCAGTACTCTTTAACGCTATTTTTACTACGTGTCCATACCAGCACTACTTAACACTATTTTTACTACGTGTCCATACCAGCACTTCTTAACACTATTTTTACTACGTGTCCATACAAGCACTACTCAACACTATTTTTACTGTACACCAGGGAGTTATATTGTGATTAAAAAAACAATGATGTTTATTTCAGGACCAGTATCGATTTATTTATGACGTCATCGCTGAATACATTGAGTCCCGAGGGATCTACGGAAACACTTAAACTTGATTACCTGGATCAGATCAAAATCAAACTTTGACCTGCCCAATCTTGTTTCGACAATGGGCCTACGTGACCGGAAAAAGCCAAACCGGCATCAAGGACAACATATTTTGATGCACGGGAAAGAACAATGTGTCAGCGTTTTGTCTCGTGCCTTGCATGGACCAAGTGCAGCGTGCAAGAAACGAATATATCAGCTGCACTACATCCGTGGATGGTGTTAATCTTGTTTTAGAATGGTTTTATTACTACACAGAAACGCAGACGATCTCCGCGGAGCTACCAATGCTCTCCCGGCGATTTTATGATGATAACCATATCATTGACTTGGAGGAAATCATTCCTACTATCCCGATGTTAATCTAGATTTTGTCTAAGATTAGTCAAATTATCTCACAAAGATATACTGCTGCTGCCTTCGACCCTTCTATTACATTTCACAAGAAATCCATACAATACTGAGGACTATATAGCTTGACTGGAGAACAAAACGTAATTATTGATGAGTATTTTGATTTACCCCCTCGACCTTTCTTCTAATTGCTGGGGACAATTACTGACCATGATCCTGGCGACAGTCTTCCGACGAAATCCTTGAATTGTAACGACCGTATCGTTGGATTGAAAGAAACGAACTCAATCTATCTTAAGAAATGAATGACTATTTCGATGTATGTTCGCGACCTTTCCTTAATGTTGATGACATTTGTTACTTTTGTGTTTCTTGGTGAAAATCAATTTATATACAACTGTGCGACCTGATGTGGTATGTTGCAGTCCGACCACATCGGTGTATTGTAGCGCACCGGGCTTTATCAATGTACTGTAGTCTGGCCCTCTCTAGTTTGAAATCAACATCTCCGGACTCTACCTTAATGGATCATTGAAGATAATTTCACGCTTATTTGCCTTTTATGTGTTATTTTCATATCCTTACATAATTACAACAATCAGTGTTATAGTTTAATGACAGAAGTAAGGTGCTGTTACATACAGTTGACATTTGAGGTCGTGGGTTCAGTGGCATTTTGCGATCATTTTTCACATAATAAATGTAATTCGAGAACTATTTATGCAATGTAACGAGGTACTCTTTTCAAAGACATTCAACAAGATGGCAAGGTCACAGTTGGACGTTGGAGGTCATAATAAACATACTATATAACAATTAAAGACGCTTTGATGAGACGATATAAACAAGAAAATCATCATCATTCCTGATCTTATATTGTATATTAACTCATATTGAGCATAGTCACAGTCTGTAGGGAATTAAGTTGTCACACGCGTTGGGGATTTGTTTGCCGTAGCGTTGCTGTCCTTTGCCACACTTGAAGAGGAAGTATGTTGTCCTTTGCCACACTTGGAGAGGAAGTATATCAGACGTACCGATATACAGACTTTGTGGAGGATTTCATCACCAGAACCGTTAACTATAGTGCTATTAACTTTTACAATAAGAACCCTACAATTGTACAAATGACACACTATACTCTCATTGTCGTATTTCTAACATGTTGGCCGTACCTATAAAACGCAATGTAGAAACGTTAGTATCTATACCAGCTACCTTGTATAAGCTTGTATGATGAACAAAATGCTATCTTTACTTGTTAGTGTAGATTTTGTTTTGTTATAAAACTTGTACACTTAACAAAATGTATTAAGCATTTAAGTGCACGAAAATATGTTCAATACACTATTGTCAACGTTGCTTGTTCCGATTAACTTATTGTTTCTCGACTGTAGATATTTATATAATTGTTGATATCTTATTTGTTCTGTTTTAACTCCTGTACATTTCATTATAGACGTGCACGATATATAACAATAAGAAACCCGTGTAATATTTTTATCTATCACTCTTTTTTCATTAATATGTGAACATCGTTATTGTTTCCACGTATACCTAATTACAAATATGTTTTTTTTATGTTTGTAACAAGGACTCCGATTGGCTCATCAGCGAAGAAGAAAGCTGCGAAAGCTAAAGTATTTCAAAAGAGTCTGAAACTTTTATGTTTTTTTTTTTATATTTTTATTTTGAGTTGATGGAAATTGGAGTTATTTCGATCGAAGCTGGAATTTTCCAATATTCATGAAACAACGATTATCTGCTTGTGATATAACACCTTATACAAATGACGTCAAAAATGTTCATGGGAGAGATTGTCAAGATTTTGTTATTGTGTATGTAATAAAAATACAAATTTAAAGTAAATATGTGTATGAATACAGCTGTGACAATAGTCTGACGGGCGAACCACTGTGTCCCAACAAATGATACGCCTGAGTGATTACTTGACCTACATACCCTGTCAACTACAAATGATGTACATTCTACAAAACTGTTAATGGTAATCCTATCGATAAACTGACAGCAAATGTTTACGAAACTGGAAAATAAATCTTTTTGAATTTTTATTTGTTGTTTTTCTATTTTCGTTGTTAGGTTGCAAATTGTGTGTGACTCGTTTTTCATTTAAAACAAAAACAGTTCGGCAAAATATGTCAATATCATTGACCAGGACCTGTGACACGTATCCGATCACGGTTAAGTAACATATGGCAGTGAATCACATTTCATCTAACTAATTACATACACACAATGACATATGGTAATTATATTCAGCCCTAGATATAGCACCAATTTTTTAAAGCAATATCGATATATTTCAAAGTTAAGACCTTGAACGAACAACGTAAAAGTTTTTTTCCTGAATTGTTTTAATGCATTTATTGATCACTACGTTTGTGTTTAAAGCAGATTTCTATCTATTGTCATCTTACCGTACATTCACAAAATAACAAAAATGAAGCCTATACAAGTACAGAGTAATACACTTTTTGATATTTGTTTAATTTTCCCCACGCCATAAACAGGAAATTCATAAACTATGTGTCCTTTCTGATAAGCGAGACACACAAGTTGATTTTGTTTTTCCTTCGAAATGTCATGAACGTACATGCTATTGATCAAAAGCTCAGGAGCGATGAGTTTAGAAAATCAATTTTACCTGCAGAACAAAAGAATTAATGTTCATATAAAACATGTGATTATGATATATGTGTGAAATGAATGCGAGGGGAATCTTTTGAAAAAATAAAACTGCAATCACGTAAGATGAAGTTATATACCGATGGAACATTTAAATTCTTATAACGATTGTCTTCTGATAAATGACCTTAACCTATGTAGATTTCAAATGAATATTTTATATCATCATTAGGTCCCGGATGTAAACCTAATTAAACCTGCAATGATATATATTTAATCGATACAGCTGGCGAGAAGTTTGCATCTGAATGTAATGCATGTTCGCTTTCCAATCAACATCACGGCACGTGCGCGTATCCATATGTCCTTAAGGATCACCATGATTTCGCAAAGGAGTCTTTTTTTTTGTATTCGGATTAAGACTGTTGCTCTGTCATGTTATTCGGATTTAGACTGTTGCTCTATCACGTTATTCGAATTTAGACTGTTGCTCTGTCACGTTATTCGGATTTAGACTGTTGCTCTGTCACGTTATTCGGATTTAGACTGTTGCTCTGTCACGTTATTCGGATTAAGATTGTTGCTCTGTCACGTAATTCGGATTCAGACTGTTGCTCTGTCACGTTATTCGGATTTAGACTGTTGTTCTGTCACGTTATTCGGATTTAGACTGTTGCTCTGTCATGTTATTCGGATTTAGACACATTATTAATTAGGAAAATGGCTCCTGGACCGTAGAAGCACAGCGTTAAGTCTAAATTTCCCTATCTTTATTTAGAACATTTTAGTGAAAAATACAAGACATGCAGTAAAATGCAAATAGTTAAGCATTGAACTGTTTTTGTATGATATTTATGATCTATTTGAATGCCACAGCTTTGCAAGCAACCAACATAATGCGCGCTAGCGCATTATGATTTTTTTGCTTGCAAGGCTGTGTCATTCAAATAGATCATAAATATCATACAAAAACAGTTCAATACTTATATTTACGTTTTCTCTGCCTCTCATGTTCTTTTTTAACTTATAATGTATAGTTAAAATTTAAAATACCCGCCTTATCGACAGTCCACACAATTTCGTTCAATAGTTTGAACAGCGTATTGTCGCGTGCTGATTGGCAAACAAAGTAGTACTTTGACATTTTAACAAACACTTCAAATTTATTCCACAATTTAGTATCAATACAATTGCGTATGATATGGCTATAGGGTGATTACAGTTTTTCAATAGAAGTCTGAGCTGAAAGTTAGATTTGAAATTGTTTCGATTTTCCCCCGGAACAAATTTCGCGCATGGATAAATACAGTGAACACCGTGAATGGGACCTTGACCTCCACGAGGGAGTTATTTTTGNTGAGGAACCGTGGATCCGAGACACGTGAAACTGATAGCGTTTGAAGTGAGTGATCTAGCGACGGAGCACAGGTTCGTTACAAATGTCTGAAATGACGAATGTTTATGTGTGTTGTGACTCATCAGTAGGTCTGTAACATATGTGTCAGTAGGTCTATAGAATATGTGTATTTCAGACATTTATAACGAACCCCTGTTGATCAGTGCAGTGTAGCAGACGATATTTCTGATAAATTGCATGAGCGTTAAAATTGTTTCCATTGCCGGCATTGGTGTTTTCAACCGATGAGCATTTTGTAGACTTTGCAGACTTTGGTCTTGTTTTCGTTGTAATAAAAGTGTTTTTTATTTTATTTTTTATTTTGCACATAAAGTTACAATGACATTACCAACTCACAATGCCCAGCGATATTTCAGCACCCGTCATGTTTATTTACATTGGATATTGTAGTTCCGGTCAGTGTTGTAATTAATACGCTAAGAATTGTCTCGTGCGGCATGGTAATTATGTCTCGTGCGGCATAATAATTAAAGTCCCATCAACGACACAGCTCTCAAAGAGGCTATATAGTGACAATGCCATGCAAATGTAAATATAGTGGATTATATTTTAATGACATGGAAAATACGATGTGCTAAGTCTCCTCTCAATGCGCAGTGAAATACATTCCCTGTATTTGGTATTTCGACAACATACTCAGGTTATTGACGGTTACACGGGCTCGATACACAACATTGATCGATTAAGACCTTAAGTTTCGTAAAATGTTTAAAAATTCAACAGAGTTCAGCGTTTTCCTATTGGATATCACAACGTTTTCCTGTTGGATATCACAACGTTTTCCTGTTGGATATCACAACGTTTTCCTGTTGGATATCACAAGTATTTGAGAATGATTTACCTGAGTTTAGTTTTATCTTCATAATAAACAAATTAACGAATGTTTATTAGTGCAACTGTGATTGAAAAGGCGACCCTTTGAATTCGTGAAATGAAATAAAACAGATATATAAATATTTTGTTATAATGATAGATAGGGTTAATATAGGATAGTAAACCCATTTGATGCCGTATATGTAGTTTCCTTCTCTTTGTAGACAGGGCTTTCTTAACACCAGTCGTTAACCAGTGTTACAGGGTTTGTATTCATACACTTGTAACAATGCTATAAGACTAGCATGTTATTGAGTCCTTCACATAGATTTATCTACCATCACGACCAGATAATAACGTTTACAAGTGTTAAAGGTAATCCGAGTCATCAATACAAAAATACGCTTTAGTTTGGGATTTTGCTAATTTGCACCACAAATAAATGTTTGTGATTAGCATCTTTGTACCCGGTATCAGTTCAATTGTTTTACGTTTACTTTCATCCCCCTTTCCCAAGGACACTGTTCTGCTGTATTGACGCCCGAAGAATGACACAGCCGGTGTATTGTCGCCCGAGGAGGGACAGAGCCGGTGTATTGTCGCCCGAGGAGGGAGAGAGCCGGTGTATTGTCGCCCGGGGAGTGACAGAGCCGGTGTATTGTCGCCCGAGGAGGGACAGAGCCGGTGTATTGTCGCCCGAGGAAGGAGAGAGCCGGTGTATTGTCGCCCAAGGAGGGACAGAGCCGGTGTATTGTCGCCCGAGGAGGGACAGAGCCGGTGTATGGTCGCCCGAGGAGGGACAGAGCCGGAGCTGATGCACGACTGCACTTGACCTCCGGAGACAGCACACTAGGGGAAGGGTTCCCAAGTACATGGGCCGTAATAGGTACATATCATGTCAATGGAATACTTGAAAAAGAATATGATTCTACTTATCACAATAGACAGAAATCCCGGTGAAATGACAGCTATAAACAAAAATTATCAAGAATATTACAATACATCACCTGGACAGGAGACCCTGATATATAGATAGTGTCACGCAATCGTATAACCTTAACAGCAAAATGGCCTATACTAACAAAATACATCACCTGAAATTTACTAAGAACACAATTCGTTGTCTCTTAAGTTTTCATACTTTTCTGTTCTGTTATAAGAGAATACAAAATACAAACAAAAACAAAGGCAAAACAATGGCTTTGTTAGCGCCATCTTCTCACGTGGATAACTTTTGTTGATGTCAGAGGAGGTTCCTGCTGGGGAACACTTCATGTGTTTTTGTGCAAACGAATATATTCGTGAGTAGCGCACTATTAATGTGTATGTCCACGAAAAAACATAATGTATCAATAAATACTTCGGAGCAATCGTTAGTACATACAGCGCACGAGCAATCGTTAGTACATACAGCGCACGAGCATTCCTTAATACATACAGCGCACGAGTATTCCTTAATACATACAGCGCACGAGCATTCGTAAGTACATACAGCGCACGAGCATTCCTTAATACATACAGCGCACGAGCATTCCTTAATACGTATAGTGCACGAGCATTCCTTAATACATATAGTGCACGAGCATTCCTTAATACATATAGTGCACGAGCATTCCTTAATACGTATAGTGCACGAGTATTCGTAAGTACATACAGTGCACGAGCATTCGTTAGTACATATAGTGCACGAGCATTCGTAAGTACATACAGTGCACGATCATTCCTTAATGCATATAATACACTAGCATTCCTTAATACATATAGTGCACGAGTATTCCTTAATGCATATAGTGCACGAGTATTCCTTAATGCATATAGTGCACGAGCATTCGTAAGTACATACAGCGCACGAGCATTCCTAAATACATATAGTGCACGAGCATTCCTTAATATATACAGCGCACGAGTATTCGTTAGTACATATAGCGCACGAGCATTCGTTAGTAAATACAGCGCACGAGTATTCCTTTATACATATAGTGCACGATTATTCGTTAGTACATACAGCGCACGAGCATGCCTAAATACATATAGTGCACGAGCATTCCTTAATACGTATAGTGCACGAGTATTCGTAAGTACATACAGCGCACGAACATTCCTAAATACATATAGTGCACGAGAATTCCTTAGTGCATATAGGGCACGAGCATTCCTTAATGCATATAGTGCCCGAGCATTCGTAAGTACATACAGTGCACGATCATTCCTTAATGCATATAATACACTAGCATTCCTTAATACATATAGGGCACGAGTATTCGTTAGTACACTTAATGCATATAGTGCACGAGCATTCGTAAGTACATACAGCGCACGAACATTCCTAAATACATATAGTGCACGAGCATTCCTTAATACGTATAGTGCACGAGTATTCGTAAGTACATACAGCGCACGAACATTCCTAAATACATATAGTGCACGAGCATTCCTTAATACATACAGCGCACGAGCATTCCTTAATACATATAGTGCACGAGTATTCCTTTATGCATATAGTGCACGAGTATTCCTTAATACAAATAGTGCACGAGTATTCCTTAATACATATAGTGCACGAGTATTCCTTAATACATATAGTGCACGAGTATTCCTTAATACATACAGCGCACGAGTATTCGTTAGTACATACAGCGCACGAGCATTCCTTAATACATATAGTGCACGAGTATTCCTTAATGCATATAGTGCACGAGTATTCCTTAATACATACAGCGCACGAGTATTCGTTAGTACATACAGCGCACGAGTATTCCTTAATACATATAGTGCACGAGTATTCCTTAATACATACAGCGCACGAGTATTCGTTAGTACATACAGCGCACGAGTATTCGTTAATACATATAGTGCACGAGTATTCCTTAATACATATAGTGCACGAGTATTCCTTAATACATACAGCGCACGAGTATTCGTTAGTACATACAGCGCACGAGCATTCGTTAATACATATAGTGCACGAGTATTCCTTAATACATATAGTGCACGAGTATTCCTTAATACATACAGCGCACGAGTATTCGTTAGTACATACAGCGCACGAGCATTCGTTAATACATATAGTGCACGATTATTCCTTAATACATATAGTGCACGAGTATTCCTTAATACATATAGTGCACGAGTATTCCTTAATACATACAGCGCACGAGTATTCGTTAGTACATACAGCGCACGAGCATTCGTTAATACATATAGTGCACGAGTATTCCTTAATACATATAGTGCACGAGTATTCCTTAATACATACAGCGCACGAGTATTCGTTAGTACATACAGCGCACGAGTATTCGTTAATACATATAGCGCACGAGTATTCCTTAATACATACAGCGCACGAGTATTCGTTAGTACATATAGCGCACGAGCATTCCTTAATACATATAGTGCACGAGTATTCCTTAATACATAAAGTGCACGAGTATTCCTTAATACATTTAGTGCACGAGTATTCCTTAATACATACAGCGCACGAGTATTCGTTAGTACGTACAGCGCACGAGCATTCGTTAATACATATAGTGCACGAGCATTCGTTAATACATACAGCGCACGAGCATTCGTTAATACATATAGTGCACGAGTATTCCTTAATACATACAGCGCACGAGCATTCGTTAGTACATATAGCGCACGAGTATTCGTTAGGGCCTCCAAGAAAGCTGGGTCCACGTCCCGAGGCTGGGTACGTTGGTGCTCAGTGCGTATGTGATCATTTCGGGGGTATGATTGTGGCGCGCTGGGCGTCATCGTAGCAGAAGGCTTTCACAGTAGCTCCAATTTGAGCCAACCTGTTTGCCGTGGGTTGCATCTCGTATTCCTGGGGGAAGAAGATCCTGGTAGCTGAGCAGAGTCGGAATCACTGTCAAACTCTTGATAGGAAGGAGACATGATCCGATATTCTGCAACATACTGCTTTGGCTTCGGACTCTGGGTAGACGAGAGGTGATATGGGCCCTCTATCACCAATCGGCTGGTCACGCCGAGCCCTTGGTTTACATACTCCCAAGAAGGCGGTGGCT